GAACGATAGAGAAGTATGAAAACTAACAAGAACTATAAGAACTAGCAAGAACTATAAGAACTAGCAAGAACTATAAGAACTAATAGGGTATAACAATAGGGAGAGAACAATCGAGAACAAGAACAAGCTAGACGAACGGTCAGAGCGAGAGCGAAAGCAGCACGAGGCACAGCGAACGGCAGTCGCAAAGACTGAACAAAATGGCGGACGCTCCGCTCTTTATAGGCTATGGGAGAGGGAGAGCAGAGCTTTCCCGCCAAAAACCGTTAGTTTGCAATCTTCCAGCCAAAGGCACTGCACAGGCGCAGCACCCCATATGTGTGATGCACAGAGGCCACGACGAAGAAGCAAAGATTCCCTCTGCTACCGTTGGCTTCAGCCTGGTAGGGCAAAGGATCCTTGTAAGTTTAGAGGTCTCCAAGCAGTGAGAGTGCAACCAGTAGGACTGAACCATATGAAAGTCCTTGCCTTAACAGCAATTATTTTTCTAAGATTTGTGAAGGACCCTAAACTATGGTCCCTATACTGAATTTCAAGCTTATAATGTTGTATATCCTTAACTTATTAAACTTCTGTCTCCTTGCCTTCTATCTCCTTGTCCATTTTTCTTGTTTTTCCCCTTTTGTTGCCACTGTGCTGAATTTTAGGCTGCATGCTCTTGGTGGCAGAACCATTTTCTTCTACTTCTTTTTAAAGTAGCATGCATGTAGCCCAATTTAAATTTAAGAAACAGCAGCTGGTGTGTGGTTGGTTCACTGAAGGGGAAGTCCCACTGACACTGTTCTGGCCCAAAAAAAAAAAAAAAAACTTGAAGACCACACTGTCAAAAATCTTAACAGCTGCACAATTTGCTCCAATTTATTTGCAAATACAAGCGACTGCGAACACCCAATGCAAAATTTAAATATCTCTGTCAGTCTTGGAACATAAAGAATGTTCTCTTATTTCCTGGACAATAAGGCCTATTTCAAAGTCAAGTGAAAGTTGTGTTCCATGTGGGACACGTTTCCTTCCAAATGCCAAATATGCTCCAGAGAGACCATTGACAGATTATTACTGTTGTGTTCAGATACTGCACTGTTCATATATGTTATGAAGCCACAAACTCACTGGGTGCCCTTTTTCGCTATACTGACCTGCCTTACAGTGTGGCTGTTAATGATAACTGCAATGTATATGCTTGTAATAAAGGGTTATTCGTATTAACAATGATTATGAGCATTCTGGGGCATCACTTGATTCCCTTCTTTCAATACAACCAGGTAAAGTGAATTACCCAAGACATCAGGAACAGGTCTGCGCACAACCTGGAATTTTGCAAGTCAAAAGTCCCATTTTAGAACAGGACAATTGCCAAATAATTGCCAAATGCTGCACTAATTAATTCAGAATATTGCATTATAAATATAAATCAAAATCCCACTTCATTTCTAACATTAAATCGCCACTTACCAGAATATGCATTTGAAAGGCATACAAGCCCAATTTGTAGAGGAATGCAAATTCATTGTGGTGGCTATAGCCAAAATATAAAAAGGCCCTTCACCTTTTGATGCACGAGCATCAAATACTACCCTCAGGGAACAGCTAAACCTTTGAAAATATGTTACACAGTTTCAGCACAAAAATGCATTTCTTTAAATGTTAATGATTTATGAAGAGTAAGGAGTGCGGCTCTACTGAGAATAGTTATCCAATTAGAAATGGTACTATCAGGTGCCCCAATATTATAAAACCAGAAAGTTCTGAGTAGCCTGATATCTAAGATTTCTTGCTTGTGTTTGTCAGAAACCTATTGCACTCAACAGCTAAAGCAATGTATCATTGGTGCTTAGACCTGTACGGTCACTCTCAGCATAAGTGAATGTTGTTCCAGCTGAGCCACACACATTGTTTGAACTCCCACTTCAGGTGATCTTTGAGGTTCAACTGGCAAATGTACAGGAATAGTATTTCCCTCCTTTCACTTCTGAACTCCTTATAAGGACTAGTCTGAACTGATGTAAGTTTAAGGAAAATGATGCAGGTTGTTTTTCATCCCAGCAGGTAATGACTGCATTTACCCACAGCTCTGTGAAGACTGGCTTTGCTCATTTTATCCTCTTAACTTTTTGAGCTGTAGTGTGTATTTGGGTTTGATAGCTATCTTGAGGTGTTTGTGAACCGTGTGCTTATATAAGTTGTTAGAATGCTGTACATCAACCATGACAAATTCTTCTTCAAAATAAAATTAGGGCTTTTTCCTTCCAATTGTCAGAAATCTGCAAGACTGTACATGTTAATGTTGTGATGCCCTCTGCTGTTAAAGTGTGCTGCATACTCTGGGTGCTACCATACCACGCAGCAAGAATGTCTGACCCTGACAGATCTTAAAATCCAAAATTTAATAAATAGCTTTAACTGGGCAAAGCTATGAAAGCCCACACAATTTACAATTATGGTACTCTGCTTAAAATGTGAACCAGTGTTGAGTTTGCCAAGTCACTGTCAAGAATGAATGCAACTGTTAGAAGCCATGCATTTGAAAAATCCAAGTACTGGTACAGTGATCCATAGCAGGTTAATCATTTGGATAGAAGTCTGACATCTAACACTGATTAGAAGGATTGCCAAGTCCTACCAAATTAATATTTATCTTCAAGTTTTGCCAAAGTGCAGAGCATTTATTGACATATAGAATATTTGCTGTTTCATGGATCTCCTAGACAGGAACTTGGATACATATGGCTAAATATTTCTTGTGTTTCTTTCCAGCAATCCATGCCAAAAGAATATTTGAATAAAACATCATATACTAGCAATCTGGGTAAATGTTTGAAGATGGTAATCAGTGCAGGGACAGAAGCATTAAGCAGGGTAGAACTTCTACCAACTTCCTTTGCTTCAAAACACCAAACCCAACACTACACAGGTTTACTCTACAAAGGGGTATCGCAGAATCAAGATTTATATTGTTGTCTTGGTTTATCTATTCTCAAAATAACTTTAACTACTACCTTCATTTGTTTTTGTTTTTTAGCTTCCCTAATTCTCAGATTTGCAAAAGAAAGTTTCATAATTTTTCATCCCACCACTCTGCAATTGCAGATGACCAGTTATGAAGGACTAACAATGGGAAACTTGGTCTAGGTGATGGACGGGGGCAGTGACTGCTGGCAGTTATTTGACCTGTCAAAAAGAAAGTGCCCCCATAAACCAAATACCTGGAAGGTTTGAATGTTCCACAGATGCTAGCATCTCAAGGACACTTATAAAACTGATAGGACACGTTTCCTCCACAAAAACAAATAAATAAAAAACAGAAACCTGCTGCAAAAGAGCCAGTGTGGTGTAGTGGTTAAGAGCATGGGACTGGGACTCAGAGGATCTGGGTTCTAGTCCCCGCTCAGCCATGGAGCCAACTGGGTGACTTTGGGCCAGTCACAGACTCTCAGCCCAGCCTACCTCACAGAATTGTTGTTGTGGGAATAAGATGGAGGAGGAGGAGAATGATGTAAGCTGCCTTGAACCCTTTGTAGGAAAAAGGCAGGAAATAAATAAATAAATAAATAAATGAGGTGAATGAGCCACCATCCCTTTCTCAAGCAAGAATAATTTTGGTTTTGTAAGCCTTTGGAAGGTCAGTTTCTGACAGCTGTCAAATGTTTGCAAAGGATCAGCTTGCTTACTTGTACCCCCAGGGTTGCAGTGGACTGAATGGGTAGCTACTGGACTTTGCAGGAGACATGGTCTTGGTCCATTACCTATCCCCACTTTCCCACTGCCACTCCATCCTAGCTGTAGTTATCTACAGTTGCCCAAGGGTGGGAAGAAAAAATAAGTTTTTCACGAATATTTGTGAAAATAGAGGGATGACTTTAAAAAGAACTTGCTAACTTTGTTGGGGCACCATAGGAAGATTGAAGGCATCTAAAGGGAGGTGTGTTGCAAAAGCTACCTCATCAGCTTGCTTTTATGATCTGTCCAAAGAAAGCCCAAAAGGGTCTGTAGTGGCAGCAAGAGGGAGTCTCATTTCATTCCTGTCCCCGATACCCATGGGAGGATGAAACAGGGAGGAGATACCTGCCCACAGTGTGCCCAGTCACATGTCAGATGCCAAAGGAATAGGGAAGCCTATCATGTCATGCAAACCCTGTTCACTGGGTTGAATTCTAAGATGTCGATTTAAGGATTTTCACACAATGAAATGTTCCTTTCTTCAATCCCTTAGGTCTACTTGCAATCTCCAAAAAGTCTATCAAGAGCAGGACAACATAGTCCTGGTGCCCAGGTATTCTAGGCTTCCCATTGTTAAAATATTTAACCCAAGATTGCTGTGAAGTAAGTTAGTAGGTGCTGAAAACTGCAGGATCAAATGAGTAATTTAGTGTGCTGGAATCCAAACCCCACTTCTGCCTTGCACTGCCTTTTGCTCAGGGTAATTGTTTTTTTGCCAATATCCCCATGGTGGCATACAATATCTAATACTCTCCTCCAAGGGAAGTTCAGAAGGCAGTAAGGAAGAGGGTCTCTTTTTGAGGGCCATCTGTGAAGCCTGCCTGGGACATCATCATCATCTTTTCAGCCCCAAGTTAAAACTTTCTTCTATTGCAAGGCATGTGACATCATCTTAAATATTTTATTGCCAATTATTTTTGCTGCTTTACATTGTTTTAATTGTACATTTTAAATTTTGTTACGCTACCTTGAGGGTTTTTTTAAATTATTAGTAATATGCCTAGGGTGTGTTTTTTAGGTTACTATTTGGACTAAGGCTGTTCCTGCTGAAAAAGTAATCAAACAATGTTCATTAACATAACAGCTTGCTTAAGTTACTGTGATATTGTAACCTGCAAAGCTTTCTAACATGTAGTCTGACATATCAATGTATTTATTAAGCTAGCTCAGGCAACCTAAATAGATGAACTATAATTTCACCAAAAGAAATATACTAATACTGTATTGAAGCTAAAGGGTAAAAATAATTTTCAGGTTTTGCAATAGCTCTTAGTTTACACACATTCTCAAATATTAAAGTTTATTGAAGATAAAAAATAGAACCACAAGTGAACACAGTGTTGAATATGCATGCATAAATATTACATTTTATTGCTGCTATAATTAAATTAATGTGCACATGTCCAACAGAACACTGATTTCTATGATGAAGTAGTAAGATGCTGTACCACTGGAAAATATTAAACTACCAGGACTTTCAAAAATATTGTATAATGCACTTTCTGCACCATTTCACTCCCCGGCAAGACACACTAAACTTGTAAACTTTGATTGACAAGCTTTTAAAGTGCTGTAACTTGAGACATTAATCTCATACAAAAGCGTGCAAAAGGCCACATGCTTAAGAATACTTTAAGTTCCTTCATACTTTTGGAAGTTAGTGCTGGTGATAGTCTCCAAATCTGCAAGTCTCAGAACAGAGTTCCTACATTTAACCCAGTCAAATAAGATTACAGTTTTGTGTTCCATTATGACTTAGGCATTACTGTCATACACTGAAACATTTAGGAGTTAGCATTAAAGACATTAACATTTGTCAGAAGGCAGCTAGATGGTCAATACACACAGAAACTGGCAGTGGAATGAATATATTAACCTATTCCTAGACAGTACAAGGCAAAAGAGGAAAGAAAGATTCCTAGTACATATGGAACAGTATTTAACAGGATATAACCACTATAATAAATCATGATTTGCTAGTATGTATTGCAAATTTCAATAACTGGCATGCTGATTTCCTTGGGAAATCAGCACACTAGCTAATGCTATGATTGCCCTAGAGCAGTTTTCCTCAATTTTGTGCCTTCCAGACACATTTGGACTGCAACACTCAGAATTCCCAGTCAATGGCCCTGCTGGATGGGAATTCTCGGAGTTGCAGTTCAAGTGCCTCTGAAGGCCACCAGTGTCTGACCAAGTCCAGCATAATTTACATTACTTGTTGCACTGTTTGATACTACCAAAGATCACAATGCTAAAAATGAATTTCTATATATCCCAAAAGTTGCATTCTATTATACTAGTGTCTAAATCAAGGTAATTGGGTACATCAATTTTCAGATGTTCTAGTCATCTCCACCAAAATCTGAATAGGTTTTTTCAAAAGGACACTTTCAACAGAAACTTTCCAGAATAATTTCCTCTCAATGGCAAAAAGTACAGTGCTCAGCCTGAGAAGACTGTTCATCCACAGAAGTCCTATACTCAGATTAAGAAGCATGCCAACACTGTTAATGATAATGAAAATATAAGGTTTTTTACAAATAAGAAATGAAGGTATGATAAACATTGGCTTCTTTATTAATACAATCTTTTTAAAAATATATATTTATTCTAGCCTGTGACCTAAGCCCCCAGATTTACAGGCATACTTGAGTTTTCTGTGCAAGATAGTGAGCCATACAATTCAGCTTTGACAAATGAATATGTGCCAATATTTGCTGCAAGGAGGTTCATCTCCTATTTGATCCGACTGTATTTCTTACATGTCCAACTTCTACAAAATAAAAAGCTTACACATTTATGGTTGTTCTAAAAGAGAGCGAGACATAAGACTATTCAGAAGCTGCAGGGTGACTGTGCAGAAGCTGTAGTGTCCCCCTTTTCTCTAGAAATACTAGTACACAGTGATAATGTTGGTTCATATTTGGTTAAGGAAGAAAAAAAAACCTTCACACAATGCATTGCTACTGAAATTCACTACCACTAAGTATGAGAACTGCTACTGGTTCAAAGGTCAGATCTATTCATGGATATAAGGCATGAAAACTAAACTGATACCTCCATGTTTATAAGTAGTATGTCTCACTATCTGCAAAGACCCAAGAGTTGAACAGATGATTAACTTTATGTCCAGCTTGTGAATTTTCAGATTTTATTTATGGGTAGTTGGATGTATCAGAATATTTGATAATATGAATCCTGGTCTGCAGTTTTTATAATTCCACCGCTCAAATGCATTGACCTACAACTTTAACCTTTAAAAGGTTTTCCTCCCATGATAAAGAGGTGACCAGAATGCAGATCACAAAATGTTCTGGATTCCTAGAAGCCCCTGCCAACATGGCCAATGACCAAGAATACTGTGACATGAAGTTTAAAAACACATGAAGATCTATTTTCTGCCCACCTCTGACTTCGCAGGTACCTCACTCCAATTACAATTTCAGCAAAATCAAACCAATACACTTTTGAGAACATGTTACCTGAAAGATACATTACACAACTAAAAGCATAACCTGCATATATAATACTGATGACAAGACTCAAAGGGAAAAGCAACATTTTGTACTTGTTTCTATTTTTGAGATCAGCTGCAGAAAGTTTAAAGCATACTAGGTTTATTTACAAATGTCAAGTCTCTGGAAAAACATTATAGCAAAAAATGTAGTATGTAAGGTACATCCATTTAAAAATAGAAAATATACAAAATAATTTCTTTTAGCACCTTTGTCCAAGTAGCATACAATTCAGTCAGCCTAACAACTTTTGTGAGATTGGTGAATTTCACCATTTCTCAAGCATTCAAACTGCAGCTAAAATGATAAACCGCCCATAATCTGAGCCAATTTGTGAATAAAGTAATATAAGTTCATTTTCTCTAAAGGACAAGATTTAAACCAACATTCTGTGTTTTACTCAAGTCAATATTCATTAATGTATTTCAGAGCACAGCTTCACATTTTATCTTTAAGATATAAGCTTGGACATGCTAATAATTTTAATGAATTCTTTCTCCAAGTAATGGGTATGTGGCTTTATATCAAATCTTTAATATACTCAAGCACAAGAATTTTGCATAAAATATGCCACATTCATCATCAATCCTACACATTTTAGAACTATGAAATCTGGAAAAGGCTAAGGAAAGAGGTTTAAAATACATGCTAAAATTAAGGGTGCAATCCTAGAAAAATTGAACAGAAAAAGGCCTATATCTCCCAGCATGTCCCAGCCAATTATGCTGGAATGTATAGGCCTTTTATCTGTCTAAACTTGCATAGGACTGTGCATCAAGAAGTTTAATAGCCCAAATCTTAAACATATCTACTCAGAAGTAAACCCCAGTGGTACTTCCTCTGAGGTAAGCATTTATAGGCTTGCTGCTTTAATCACTTAGGGTAAGGAAACATGGTGTCAGTGTTACTCATAAACATCTTACCATTTATTTTTTCTGCTTTGCTCTGAATTTTTACTATTTAAGCCATAATCAAGCAAAGCTCTGGTAACTGAACTCTGCTTACCCAATGTCCTTCAGTCAAAGAAAACATGCAGCTAGGCAATCTTGGAAGTGCATTCCTGAAACATGACCCCTGTTGGTTTGTTCAATTAAGGCTTTCTGCAAGGTATCACAGGACTAGTCTAAATGGTACATGTACTGCCTAGCCCTGAACCAGATAGTATTCATTGTCTGCAATCCTATCCACTTCTTTGGGAGTAAATTCCACTGTATACAGTGGGACTTACTTCTGAGCTTAGTGATTAACAGGTCTTAATTTAGCTGTGAATAACTTTCCCATTGCTGTAAATGGGACTTAAAACTAACTTCAGCTGGACCAGAGCCAATCTATGAACCCCCAATTTTGTAGTACTCCTTACAGAAAAAAGAACTTTGTTTCTAGAGTAATTCCACCTGAACATATTCAAACAAGCATAAATGCAGCAAAGTAGCTCAAATATCTGAAAAAATTCATAAAGACTACAACAAATAGCTGCCAACAGCATACAGCAGCATAATATACCTCCATCCTAAGTGCAACAGGTTAGTACATGTCCGTTTTAATCTTATGCCAATAATTAACAATGTAATTTTAGATACTATGGACTAGACTGATAGTGCCATGAATTAAATACCCACTTGGTATCATGGAACAGCTTCCTGCTGCACTGAAACTTGTGCTTATAGCTATTCCTAACTTTCATGCTATCTTCTGTAACAGCTCAATTCTGTCAGGCTGCAATTCATTGGTCTTTTTCACACTAGTGATCTTACTCCATCCTAGCCATTTATTTTCTTTTTATGAAGATATTTAGTCCCAGATAAAAACTGGGGTTAGAACAGCTTACTCACATCAGCTTACACAAAGATTCATGGCATTTATTGCCTAGTATCCTGTTTCCCCAAAAATAAGACCTAACCAGAATATAAGCCCTAGCATGATTTTTCAGGATGCTCATAACATAAGCCCTACCCTCCAAAATAACCCCAGTTAAGATTGTCAGCCAGATGGACGCATTTAGTACGTCCGTTGAAACACAGTTCAGGGTTTGGAGAGTTGTGATATTCCAGAAGATGGAATGACTGTATTTGAATAAATGTAATTTTTGTACATGAATAAATGTAGATCTTTATTTGTGAAAAAATAAGACATCACCTGAAAAAAAGCCCTAGTGCATCTTTAGGAGCAAAAATTAATATAAGACCTGGTCTTATTTTCAGGGAAACATAGTATTTGTAAAAGCTCCCCCCGCACCTGGCACTCTCTGAACAGGTTTCAGCTTACATCAGCCCCAACCAATGTGCCCAATGATAAGGAATGCTGGACACTGTAGTCCAAAGCATCAGGAGAGCACCAGTCTAGGAAAGGCTGGTTTATGATACTAATGGCGATTAGCTAAAACACTATCCCAATAGCATTTTCTGATCTTTTAATCAAGGTATGTTATTTGTACATCTTCAGCACTCATGTAGTTATTCATAAATGGTAACACTCCCATTTTGTGAACCATTTTTTTCTTCCTCTCAAATGCTGCATTCTTACCTTTTTAGACTTGCTTCTTAGTGTTATTCCCAAGGATGAATGTGAATTTGTTACCATTCACAAGGACCCTCAAGGTTTAAGCTCAGTGTTTCTGTAACCACACCAACCTCCACCCACCATTTATGTTTAAACTAAACTACATTTTTCCTTAGAACTGTGATTTACAGACACATTCAAGTAATCATAGTTGTCTAACCTGCCATAACCCATGACCTGATACAATGCAAATGTCAGAGCAGCTTAAGACCCAATTCCAAAGGTCTATGTAGAAAAATAGTTTATAAAAACCAATAATAAGTTACCCATTTAGGAACCTTAACAGCTATAACATATGATGAAGTGAGAGTTAGACCAGGGTGCAAGATCTCTAGCTTTCAATTCCTAATGGCAACCAGAAATGTACAGCCAACAAGTCATTACACATGGTGCTGGACACACGTCAGGAAATTTCATTCTTAGCAAGAAGCACCAACACCCATGGGAATCAAAATTTAGTAAAAGCAAACTAGCCCCTCATCCCCCACCATAAAGCAGGTACTTGTTTCAGAATTCTTTTGGAAGTGCATATTTTGAGAAGGGTCAACCAGCAACACAGCCATATTTAGAGAAGAAAAAAGCTTATTTAGAATCTTATAACCATTTCATAAGGTTTTGTTGTAAGCACAAATGTCATGAATTTATGGACTGTGAAATAAACCCACAAACTCTGTATCTTCAACATATAATTTTGTCTACTTTAAAAAAAACATGCTGCTGGGACTTCTTATAATTTCAATAATTTTGAACAGCATTCCATCAATGCACATAGATCCACGCAGTTGACTACTGTTTCAATTGTAACTGATAGTGTGGTAATATTGTATACCAAGGAAGTGAGAGAGCTTACTGGCAGTTTTTCACTTTCTAAGGATATTAAAGACAAAGCCTTCAAGCTAAAGGCTTTTACTACAATAGCCTTATTTTTTCACACGATACTCTTATTCAGCAATTAAAATAAGCCAGCTTTGGGATTACTATTTTAAAGAGGCAACTGTGTAGTCAGCCTTTTAGTTAGGGAAGTATACACAACTTTTTGAAAGAGCACAACTGAAACAAGTTATTTCGTCAACTCTGAATAGAGACCAAGTTAACTATTCCCTAGAATGCATAATCAAAAGCTCAATAACTGAGTTGAGATTTTTATTCCACCAGTGATTCTATAATCCTGTATATAAGCCTAGCTAGCTATAGCAGTGCAGTGCACATATATTCAGCTGTGTTAGAGGAATTCCTGCATCAACTAAGATTCTTTCAAGAGTCACTATGGCTGTTGGTACCAATAGCTGTCTGTAGTTCTTAAGTATGCAAAAGAAAACACCAAACTAATTGGAAATATGGCACTGCTGCATATGCTCTTGTAAACTTCTCACACTAACAGCAAACCTGTGCATATCAGCCATAATTAAATTTAGGGCTTTCAAACTTTGAATTGACTCATAATATTACATACAGCTTATTTAAAAACCTGGAGGATTGTTCTGGAACAGTGAGGTAGTAGATATGACCAACCTCACAGAAAATTCACACTTCTCCAAAGTTGGTGTGTCCGGTCTCCTTGGCATGTTCTCTGGCTTCCACTTGCCCTGTTAATCCTTTCTGACACACCATACATCTCAATGTAAACCGATTTACATCAGTAAACTGTCTCTTTCTTCTGGCTTCATCTGCTAACTCCAAAGCTTGTGCAAGAACAACATCATCAGATGCTGAAAAAATTGTCTGGGGAGGAATGTCTGAGTTGGGGATTTTACGTTCAAGTGGATCATAGTGAATACCATCATAAATTAAAAGCACCCGTTTAGAATAGCCAGCATCTTCCCCAAAACGATCAATTCTGACTGTCTGAGTATCCACTACACAGATTTCACATTGATAGAATTTAGACAAGATGGAAACCTCAATTGCACCTCCCCATGTATCTTCTCTTTTGATCCATTCACAGTATTCCTGGTTCGTTTTCCCTAGTACTGCCTCACTATAGGATTCTGGATCACTTGCTACAATTTGTGCTATGAGATTTCTCATCTCTGGGGCACATCCTGGGTCATAAACCCCACCTTCTACCACATAGTATATGCTGGTAAACAGGCACGAGTTATCTGCTGGAACAACCTTCCTGGCAAGCACAGGCAGAGCTTCCCTGACCGAATTAGAAACAGTCCATTTTGTAACTAGAGGTGATTCAGTCTTGGGTTTGGTTGCATCTTCTTCAACTATTAGAGTATCACCTGTTAAGAAAAACAGAAGAAATAAAGAGTTGACTTAGTACAACTATTAAGAAAATGAACTAAAATACTTTTTCAAGTTTCAGATACATGTTTCAGAATCCTGTTGAAAGTACAAATGTTTTAAGAGGAGTCAGTTATCAGAAATTTTACCATGTTTAGATGCCAAAGGAGAGAAAAGTTTCTCTCTCATCTCTGACTCCCCCAACACCAAATGTGTAATGGAGCAATCATATTCCCCATGCTCTAAGGATAACCAAGATGCATAAATTACTTTCACCCTTCAGTTACACTCTAAATTTATTCATGGATATATAGATGCAATTCAGATTTGAATATGAGAATAAATGACAAGCCAAACAAAAGATAAAAACAGGTTATTGTAAGCTTCCATAAATAATCAAAATTGCAATGGACAACAATTTTTGTATTTTTTTCCAAAATACACATTAGTTTTAGAAACCATCAAATGACTCTACTAAATTGCCAGCCATAGTGACACAATAATCCTAACTTGCACAAGATACATAGAGAACACAGAGATCACATTTTTATTTTAAAAACTTTGCACTCACTGTTAGTATTCACAGGACAGTGGCAACTCCAGTATTCCAAGGGCATGTTGACAATTCAACACACATCTAGGTTAAAGCTCTGAATTTTAATTAATGGGTGGTGACAAAGGATGCCAATTTTAAGCAATTACAAAATGTCAAAACTCCTGGGTCATTACTTTGAAGTTTCCTGTTCTAAACAGGACAGAGATACATCCTGTGTTCTAAAAATACTTATAAAATTATATGGTTTTCCTTCTAAGATATCTTTTCACTATAGGGAAAAAGTGCACTATACTATTGTGTTCAATGAAATAGATATTTAAACTGAATTGAATCACTACAAGCAGTGCTACAATCAGTTACAATCAGTGCTACAATCAGTTACAATCCAGCTCTTTATCAGCTAGCAGAAACAAGGAAGATAGCAATATCTACAGGCTATTTAAACAGCTTTCATTTCTCTCTTGTAGAATATGAAATGTTTTAGTTTTTGCCTGTATTAAGATGTCCAATATAGCCCTCTCCATCCAAGTACCCTAAGTAGCTGAAGAATAATTTTGTAATCCTACTCTATATCCATACTATGCAGGACTTTTAACAGATACTTGGCATAGTAATAACTTCGGAAACTCAATTTGTTCATCATTTGGGTTTACATTTTTAAAAAGAAAATAGAACAGAAGGTTTAAAAATAAGCAATGTAATTGACCCCTTTTATAGGGCAGATCAATGGAACAAGATTCATAAATGCAAGCCTGCCCTGAGAATAAAAGATGCCCGGTCAAACACATCATCATCAATAGCAGCAATCTCTGTACTTAATCTCTATTTTTAAAAAGCTGCCGTAAGATAGGGGTAAACAGAAGTTTGATCAGGATTTACTAAAAAGTATTTAGGTAGATCCACAACGACTTCCAGTAGCTGGATGTTTAATAACAGTAAGAACAAAACGACTTTCCTCACCTAAATCAACTGAAATAAGAGAATCCTGAGGTGGATCCTGAAGTGACAATCATAATTATGAAAGCAAATTAGACCCAAGAGGTCTGGCATGTACTCTCCACTAAAGAGCTGTCCAGCCTCTGGCCTTACTCAATCCTTGTTCGTGAAATGAAGCAAAAATGGGACAGAAGAACACTCAAGATGCTCCCAGCCTGACATACATGCATTCGTGAGGAAGCCACGAACTGAACCTTCATGCAACTGTAGAATGGTGGCCATCCATGTAAGCAGTACTTCCCTATGAACAAGCCATTTCCAGGTAGCTCCCCCTCAAGAGGGAGCCAAGGCCCAACAAAAAGCCCCTGACGCCGACTCACCTGGATAAGCCCAGGTATCTCAAAACACGCACTGCTTCGTACCTGAGTGAATGCCCAGCTCTCCAAGGCACTGCTCACCGTCGCTGAGGTCGATGCCGCGAGGAGGGAAGCCGAGTAGCAGGCGTTGGGCCTGGACGGACACCCCGGTGAGAGCAGCAATCGCAGCTTGTAGCTCACCCAGGCGGGAATGGACCGTGAGTCCGGGAAGCGGGTAGGAACCACTCCGGGCTTTACAGCGCAGCCGCAACATCTTACCGCCCGGTACACAAATGTTCTCCCGGCGGCAGCGGCTGCCGGGTTTCAATACCCGCAACCCCACAGTAAAATGGCTACGGCTACCCAGCAACCCTTCCCTTCGGACATTGTATTGGTCGCATCGTCAACCTCCAACGCCCCCTAAACCAAAGTAACCAATCACATCCGTGGGCGAGCCTTTGGCGCACACTCAAAGCACCAAACATCCGTTTTGGTGAGGTCTGAACGCTATGTTTGTAGTGCGCTTGCGCAGAAAGGAGGGGCTGGGCTGAGCACGCTGTGACGTCTTGCTAGCTCAGCCTTCTTTGTCCTGCTTTATTACTGTTTTGTAATGGAAGGCGCCGCTAGGCTGAGCCTCTTCGCGCATGCGCTTATAGCGAGCGAGGCAGGCATGGGGGAACATGTTACCCTTAAGGTTGCATTTGCTCTTAAAAGTAGCCGAACCCTAGAGAGACTTTTTTTTCCGACCTGCGTCTTCTTTGTGGATGGACTTTTTTAAGCCGGACGTGAATGTGTATTAGATAAGATCGGCAAATTCAGTGCGCATGTTTTGCGCGCATCCATAGATGAGTGGAATGAGCTGTTCTCTCCCCCGCTATTGTAACTGTGGGAAATACATTTGTAATATGCATTTATGCGCTAATCTGCCTTTGGTTCCAATTCCCTAGGCAGCCCTCCTTGGTAGGCTGGGGCATTCTGGTGATTGTAAAGGGCATATGTCTAGAGGGCACACGACTTTCCTCGCTGTTCTGCGTTTGTCTGTCAGCGGTGGTTTAAGTACCGAAAAACTGGACTCAGGCCAAGACAACCAAATAAGTAAATAAATAAAACCACTAGTTTGAATATGCCATTTTAATATGTTCTAAAATTTCTGTGTGTATGCTGGCGTGTCTGTCTTCAAAGGACGCTTTCTCCTAATGACTGCCCTATTTATAAAGGAGGATGTGTGACCAAGGGAGAGGAGGGCATTTGGTTTCAGAAAAACAAAAATAATCGGAAATATTTAAGCGGGGGCAGCACCTAATGAAGCCCATGTGGGCAAAAGCCTCCTAATCCAGGGGGATCAGACGCGACAGAGCTCATCAGGGTGCCTGTACCTTTTAGCAAGTGCCCATGGACAGCGGGCTATTGGGCAGGTGGCCTCCTAGAAAGTCGAGGCTCCAAATGAAAGCTCAGGGGTTCTAGCCCTAGCGGGGCAGCGCTTAACATCGCCTCTGCCTTAACTTCACGCTCCTTCATGTTCCCAGCGCTTCCCCGCGTGCCCTTCGCGTCGGGCTGGCATATCCGCATCTTCCCGTGGCCCTCCCGCCTCTTTCCGCAAGGCGGCTGGGAGGGAGACGCTGCTGCCGCCTGCACCAGGATCTTTCCTGCGCCTGGGCTGGATCTGCCTTTTTGATCCTCGCCCGCCGGCCGCCCTGCCTCTTGGGGAGCGGAGGGACCGGCTCCCCTTCAGCGCGCCAGCTGCTGGACTTGCGCTCTCTCGTGCGGGCGCCCTGGGGACTCCCGCAGGTGTGCGCCGGGAGGCTGGCGACGAGGGACTGTTTCTGAGCGCGGATGAAAACCTCGCCGCCGTCAGCTGCTCGCCCGCCTGTCAGGCTGTGAGCGGTCGCACCTGCTTCGCGCGATGGCTCTGGAGCGGTCGCAGGAACACCCTCTGGCCTCCGCGGTCCTCGGGGTTCTGCGTGGGTGACAACGGATGAGCATAACGATGAACTGCGTTCCGTACACAGGTTGCTAAGCTTTCTATAGGGCAGCCTCGAGCAGCTAGTTGTTCTCCAGGTGTGCTGACCTGCCGCTCCCTTCATCCGCAACCGGCATGGGAGGTTGAAGAAGCCCATGGTAGGGTATGCTTACCCATCACCTGGATGTACAAAAGCCTCTTTGGGAGAAGAAAAACACCCTTTCCAGCTTTTCTTCTTTAGGGGATTTGCACCACCTTTTGCAAATATTACGGTAAGTGTCTTTCTTGTTTTGACCTTGACTGAAAACTTCAATGTAGCTTCCAGCTTTCTCTCTCTCTCTTTCTCTCTCTCTCTCTCATATTCAGTTTCAGCCTTATTCTCTTCGCGATCCCTACTGGAAAGAACGTCATAGACATTGCTGCTGTGCATGTTCTTTCTTCCTTCCTGAAAGCCTAGCATTTCATAACACCCCTGTTTTGTCCTACGAATTTCTAGAAGGAATCTAGTCAGCCAAAACCGAGGACATCTGAGCTTTGCAGCAATGTCAGGGGATGCAGCTCCAGTCGCAGAACAGGTAAATGACAACAGTTGCAGCCAAGAAAACAAACCTTCAAATCTACGAGCTTCGGAAAAGAAGTGCTGTGAGTATTTGTGATGGTTCTGGGGAGCAAATTTTTCCTTTGCTTTTATATAGGTAGAGTCAGTCAGATAGTAAAATGCGCGTGCTCTCTCTCTCACACGCTCTCTTTCTATATATATATTCATATTCTCAGCTTGAATGCTGTATTAAACATAGGATGGTTTCTTTCCCAGGGCAATACTATTTATATTTTGGGTCTATGCTAAATGATGTATTTAGGTCCTAGGCACTGATCCAACAGCTAAATATATCTGCATAGTGGGGGATGCAGTGTGCCTCATAAAAGGATAAAGTTGGTTAGAATGGGATGGGGAAGACATGGGTTCACATCTCAACCCACATAGTTCACTGGATGATCTTCACTAGGCCAATGTCTTATATCCTCATCTATTTCACAGGACAATTCCAAGGATAAAAAGCCCTAGGAGTGGGGTGGGAGTAACATCATGTGCACTGCAAGGAGCTCCCTGGAGGAATAAAATGTAATAAATTATATTTGGACTGAAGCACTTTAATATATTCTGGAATTAGTCATTTACTGACAAAGTCAGATTTCTGTTGAAATAGACTTATTCCCCTCTTTGAGGAGCTGTATACTTTCAGGACGCCTGTCAAGGAACTGCGGGGCCATCCCGTATAGCATATGCCATAGGACCCTAGCTTGTAGGAGACTCTTTATGATACTGATGATCATGCAGTACTTTGCTGGTAAATTATAAACAGCTCCAGGACCAGAATCCTTTAACCTATATTTCTCAGTCCTTAGTACTTTGCATTTGCTCTAATTTTTTGGGCTGACTTCTCATTGGCACTTTCTAAACTAAACAGTTTGAGAACAGTTTTACAGTTACACAAGATATTCACACATTTCTGTGATGAGGTCCTCTCTACCACCATAGGGTTTCATTGGCCTGCACCCCATGCCTAAATATTGTATGTTGCTTTTATGACAGCAGTGCTAATTCTCTACAGTGTTCATGTAACAGCTTGGTTTGCAACATTGTACTGGGACAGAGGTTTGTATGTATTTTGTTTTGCTGAAACATCAAGATCGTTTTCTGAGCTGCTGTTTGAGTTCCATTTCTCCAAGCTTTCTACTGCAGTGACTTGTTTATTTGTAGAATCTTGTTCCATCCTTGGAGAATTAAAGGCAAGCTACTAGATTCTACATAGGAGACGTATTAAACAGAACCAGACTCAGGACTCAGCCACTGGAGAATGAAATTTGAGCTCCAAAATAGTATGGGAAAGTAGCTACATAACTTTTTATATTTAGGCTGTTTTTCTGTGGAAGGCATTGTCCCATCCACAATTTTTTAAAAAATGGTTATGCACTGTACAGATGTGTGTAGACTTTCCCTCCACAGTTGAAAAACTGATTAGAAAAGTAGCTTGAAAAGGCTAGCTCTGAGCGTAAACAAAGTGGATGGAGGGGGGATGTTAAGCAGCTACTTCCTCTCCCCTTTCTCCTCACCCTTATATTGTACAGCACTTGGACTGGATCAGGTCCACTAGCAACAAGAGCATTTTACACTCCCCAGAAATGCTCTGTCTTCTTGGGAACATTTTGTTTTTATTTTTTCTCTTCTTTAGTACTTTGGAGGCTGAAAGTAGAAACGGGCACATAGCATTATTGAAAAGGAATAGCTATGTTGCTATTTCCACTTGTGAGATGGATAGTATGCTTTAGGGTTGGATGAAAGGCCTGACTTTCATGGACAGAAACATTCATGCATTTCTTTTTAGCAGGATCCCCCTCCTGTTCCCCACATTGTAACTCATCCCATTTATCAGAGTCCTCCTAGCTAAATTCTGTGTAACATCTTCAGAGGGCAGGATGGACTGCTATAGAGAGAAGTATGCTTCCACCAACCAGGTGCATGTACCTAAATATGGGTCCATCCCATTGCCTTTGTTTTGGGCTGGCAGGATTGTCAGACTGAGACTAAAAGCAATTAAGTGATTGTATGAATAAGCCCTTAGAACTGTTCTTTCATTCAGATGGACCATGGCTTATCTTCACTGGTCTACTTATTTTTGATGGTGGGCACAGTGACTCTCTTCTGCTAAAGATTTGTTGAAAACAAAATGAGTTACACAAGAACACAGTTTTCCTTTCTTAAAGCCTCCATTCAGTTCTGACTGGCTTACACAGAGGTACACATTGTATTGCATTCATATTTATGTTATAGTCTACTTTCTTTTACCTTGAGGGAAAAAATCCTTATCAAAGTTTTGTTGAATTGGATTTCAGGGAAACACTTCTCTCATTAATACAATTGAGCAGGCTTTGGACCATGATCTGATTAGAAATCTAGATGAACTTCAGGTAAATCACTAATGAAGCAGTTCTCTCATCTAATATTTGTCAGATTTGAGATTGGCCATATTGTATTTAAAGAATGATGGGATCTCTGTAGTTCAATCCTGGACCCATTACAGCCAGAATGGGCAAACAGCAGCCCTTGGCCTAATTTCTGCAAGCAATTAGCCCAGAAGTCTGGCAAAAGCCTCAGACAGTCCACTGGGCAGAGAGGAGGAAGGAGGTAGGAGGAGAAAAGGGTATTGGGAAGAGAAAGAAATAAACGGATGGCCCACCTACTGCTCACTTTGGCCTAGCTCACTGCCAGAATGCAGCCCCCAACAGTTTAGCCTCAAGGGACAGGAAAAAAAGAAGATTCTTCTTCTCTACCTTAGAGCAACTGTGAATGTTGGCATGGGCTGCAAAGGAGCCAGAATCGCTTAGGAAAGTACCTACAACTTATGCAGTACATCTGTGAGCCTGGCCTTTTAGACTCAGCTATGCTTGGCATAAGCCAATTAAAAGAGCTCTGTAAGAATTGCAGATATGAAGGAAAAGAAAACCTATGTCAAAATGAATACTATCTTCCACTGTCAGCATCTTCTGTTCATTTCATGGGAGTGTGCTAAATCCTGTATCAGAAACAAACGGAAGATAAAAGACCAGTTTAATCTTTCAGTTCTGCATTAAGCATGTTCAGAAATAATACTTGTTACATTTGTGTTCTCTGGAGGAAACTTCTGAGTTCAACATTTTCTCCCCTAACCTTGAAAAGCTCACAGATTAGTGGGAAACATTTAAAACTCTGAGTGACATACTCAGTTTGAGGCACTTAGTCACTGGCTATTTTTGCTTGGCTAGCCTACATCATTAGCAAACACCTGAGAGATCATGCCCTGATCTGCTGATTAATTATGGGAAAATAGCACAGTGTTCCTGTCCTCAACAGATGTACAGGCAGAAGGAATAGTGGGAGGCATATATTATTTTGGCTTCTTGCCAGCAGCTTCCTTTTCTACTTTGTGAAAGCAACTTATTTTTGCGTATGCTTTCTTTTTCAGCATGGGCTTCTTATATGACCAACTCTCCTACTCTGATTGTAATGATAGGCCTTCCTGCAAGAGGAAAGACCTATGTTTCCAAGAAATTAACTCGCTACCTCAACTGGATTGGAGTGCCTACAAAAGGTTCTTGCATGTGTTTATGCATGGAATGTAGTTTAAGAATGAGAATGATTCTGAGTGGTTCATGGAAGGCAGCTGAGGAAAGGATCATGCCCATGGATGGTTGACGAAGCTGGCAGTGTGAAATGCAGCTTAATATAGTGGATTGACTATGACTAGAAGCTGTTGCCCTTTGACTTCTTTGCAAGAGTTTAAAGATACATCTGGTGGTGCATCAGATGAGGGTTTTATTGTGCAGGCATCCTACTTTATTAATGCAATGGTGGATCCAGATGATGATGTCTTTCATTGAAACGCATTGTGTCCCTACCACTATTTCTCTGTCCCCTCCCCCCTCTCCCAAAACACACACACACACACACACACACGGAGGAAGAAAAGATCAAATAGCTATATATTTTGACGGACTGCTTCCTTTATTGGGAAGCACTTGTCTGAACCAGTGCTGCATAACAACTGTGATAATTCACTGATTTCTCTCCAATTTGATTAATGCTGCCTTTTTAGTCTCCAATTCATAGTTCACATTCAACTTGCTTCAAAGCAGCCCCACTGAGCTTAACAGAGTTCTTAGACGCTCTTACTTTATGGGGGTTGTGTATGTTGTGAATTGTAGTCTTAATTCATAATGTGCACTGCAATCTTATATAGGACATAAACCAGGCAAAGAGTTCCATAAATGTTTAATCAAAGTGAGTTTGGCATGTTCTTCATCCACTGATATCATAATTTAGGTGAGGTCTTGCCCTTTGTGAATAGAATACATAAACATGACCTACTTCACATTCTGCCATTTTACAGATGGGAACTGAAGCTGAGAGAGATTTATATCCTTGACCCAGGTTCCAATACAAGTCCACTGAATGGACTTGACTTTTCTCATTTTTTACTAAATGAACCAGATTCCTCTTTGTGAACTCCCTGTAAATCAGTTTTCCTGTGACAGGTTGTATAAAGAATGTGCTTACAAAGTTATGCCAGAATACTAAACACTTTTTACTATACATTTCAGCTAATGAGTGAGATTTCAGTGTGAATAACTGTAATTATACTGAAGATCTTAACTTAATTCTTGCAGTTTTTAATGTGCAGTTTTTAAATTATCAGAATACCTTCCGGCAGACATGTGAATCACTTCTTTGCTTGACAAAACAATGTTCATTCCTGAATGTAAAAAACTGAATTCCCTAATTTGTTTTTGAAGTATTTAATTTAGGTGTCTATCGTCGTGAAGCTGTAAAATCATACAAATCATATGATTTCTTCAGGCATGATAATGAAGAAGCCATGAGGATTCGAAAGTAAGCTAATAGCAGTGTCTCATTCATACTAGTGGCTGTGCTATAGCAATTACTTTAATCTATTCCTTTTATTGCTAGGTTTGGAAAACTTGATGGTACAGAGAACATTCTGTGCACATCTTCCTGAAAGTAGGATCCACTGAACATAGTGGATTCACTTTCAAATAAATGTGTGTATAATTGCTCTGAAGGCTACAATCCAGGAGTGATAAGGCTTTTTTGTCTCTCCCTCTCTGTGTGTAGACATAAAGGGTTTGCCCTTGGAGAAAGAGTTACTTCTCTGGAGGACCCCTCTAAGTTTCAGTGGCCCTGACTTCTCTCCAACGTCAGAAAGTGAGGCAGGGGTATGCCAGGAGAAACTGTATCTCCTGGCCCTTAGACATGCTCCCAAACTAGATCCAGACCTATACCAGCACTGGAGCTAGTATAGGCTAACTTGTTTCTCTTTAGCTCAATGGGAGATAACTTATTTTTTAAAAAAGGTGGCAGGGCTTGGGGGAGAAAAGAGGAAGAAAGGAAAACCAGGCCAAGGGTTTGAAGAGTAAACATGCTGCTCGTTTCTCTCTTCTGCCCAGCTGAGTTTACTTCAGCAGGGCTTCGGTTTGCTTCAAGGTTCTGAGAAGGCAGAACATAAGATTACACAAAGTAAGATTGCTCTGCCCATGTTTGAAGATAGAAAAGCATAAGAAGCAGGCTGAAGGACAGAGTGAAAATGAAGGGCAGAATAAAAATAGCCAAGAATGTGAGAAGACCAGGGAACATCAAACTGGTGCTAGGTGGAAAATTTGCTAATAAATTCATTTTGCTAAATGTCTTCTACAAGCAATGACTATCAGTTTTGCCATTTAAAAGTGTGTTTTCATAGTTCACAGTTAAGCTCTACAACATGAAAGTGCTTCAATATTCTACTTCTGCAAAACATGACACTTCGGCACAATGTCACACAAGAGTAAAAATTGCTGGAGCATGCCCATTTACAGTAATTTATACATAGTCATTATATATGTGTTGTTATCTCTTTAACATGACATAACGTTGTTTGTTTTGGCAAACGTCAGGCTGTTAATGCACTTATTTCAAAAACAAGTATAAGTTGGTAGAAATATAACTCATTTGGAAGAAGCATAAACACTTTGTGAAAGATTAGACTATAACTATCTGTATTTGTTTTGAGAAAAGCTGGTAGGAGTAAATAGAATTTGAGCAGTCTGAAAACATAAATTAGGATTAATGAGAAGGTTAGGAACTGAGGCACAGTATCCAGATTTCTTTACATGCCCCAGTTGCATACATTTTATATGGATAGTACACTGGCACCTAGCTTCTTCAGTAAATGGGCAGTTTTAGAAAAAAACTACTATAAGTATTAATGGTCTTCCAGAAATCTGAACTGAGTGAGGGTAGATACTGAAAGAGGTCTGAATATTTCTTGCTTTCACAGAGACACAGAGTTGCCTTGGAGAAAGCAAAATGTAGTTATAAACTATTATCCCACTGAATGATTGTTTTGAATGGTTTGGCTTTTCATTTGCTTTATAGTTCATTTCATCAAACTCTATTTTTCAATTTTTCAGACAATGTGCCTTGGTGGCTCTTGAAGATGTGAAAGTTTATCTCATGGAGGAGTCTGGCCAGATTGCGGTAGGTACACACTAGGTCATTGATGCTGGTTGCTTGGGGGTCATGGTCTGAGAGGAGTGGGGAGAGTTATCATGACAACAGCAGCTGCATGTTTGGTCTGAAGGTAGGTCACAGCTCTGAAATAGCAATTAGGAAACTAGATGAATGGAAAAACTTTGGAGCATATTTACCTACTTCTGAGACTGGGAGGTTGTCCCAAAAAGTCTTTTCTCGTGGTTAGGCAGGAGAAAAAATGGAAAGTTCCATGACAAATCAAAAAATTGCTTTGCCACAAGGATAATGGTTTAATCATTTATATAGTTATTGCTTTTCATGCTTCATAATACTTCACTTTCCAGTATTCACTAATGCCAATCTCTTGTGCTGTTTTAACCTACATTTGAAATTGGAAATAAGATGAAAAATAAAATAAGAGCGTCTAGTTGCTGATTATTATGTGCCCAGCATTGGTGAGGAGGAGATTGTACAAGCCTAGCACAAAGATTTCTGCTGCAAATCTGGAAGCTGTTTATCACCAAGTTCTCTTATATGGCTAGTCTCATAATAAGGCCTTCTGGATTTTTCTCTTAAAGAGGCAGTACACAGCAGCAAATGTGAACCAGCCCTAGCTAGCTTTGGTTGTTTGTCTATCTATTTTTGTTTGTGAACTGTTCTAGACTTTTAGGAATGGGACAGATAAAATTTTAATAAATGAAGATTTTGATATGTTGCCTTGATTTAGTCTGTTTTGCAATCACATGTAAATAAATAGGATTTTCCCAATTGTATGATTTTATCTGTATATCAAACATGCAGGGTGTGAATCTATTGTAAATCCTGCTGAATTCTTTGAAATTCACCATACAATTTGGAGTTGGCTCCAGTATAATGCATTATTGAATCAATAGTGAGATTCAAAGATGGTTGCACATCTAGGTACTTAAGTTTGTCTCCCAATAATTCCAATGTACATAGGATATCTGAATCCCATACACAGTTCTGGTTATTGCTACTTAATATTACAAATTTGTCTTTTCTTCTTTTTGTTTAGGTCTTTGATGCAACCAACACAACACGAGAGAGACGGGACATGATCTTAAATTTTGCAAAAGAAAATTCCTTTAAGGTAACTACTTTGTTACAACTAAAGTAACAAAGTTGTTATGATGAACAACAACTATGACGAAGTTTGTCCTACGACGAAGTCAGATTTCCTGGAGCAGCAGCTTGCCCATGAAAATGTATTGAGAACACTGGGCAATCTGGCAAGCCCATTTATACTCCTTTGCAACTGAGCAAAGCAACCATGTTGCCCTATAGGATAAGCCACTTCCCAAGTCTACAGGCAACAGCCCTTTAGTTATCACTGTTCTGTCTAATCACGTAGCTTATAATAAGCATGTATCATGTGGAATACTTTGTGAAAATAGCAGGATGAAGTTACAGGAAAAAACTGACCTCCCTTGTCAAAAATGATCTCCGTGCTTTTAGTTGAATAGTAAAGGACAAGATTTTTGTGTAAGAAGCATCTGTAGACACATGCCCTTATTATGGATTACTTCTAATCAGGAAGGATTGCTACTAAATTAGTAATACTAGGGCTGTGATAGTTGCTGTAGGTACCAAAATATAAGTGAGACATTTAAGATTCCAAGATGGTGAATGTCAACATGGTTTTCATTACTGCAGAGAACCTGCATTTTACTAAGCATTTTATCTATGTATTTTTGTTTTGCAGGTATTTTTTGTGGAGTCTGTATGTGATGATCCAGAAGTCATTGCAGCCAATATATTGGTTCGTATTGTATATCCTCCAAAAGCTGCCCATGTAGCATCCTACTTTAATTGACTGCCATCTAGAGGCTTTATCGTTAATAGAGACTGATCTCACTTTTGTGATGAGCAAAAGATTTGTAAGATGAACTCAGCACTTCATACATCCTTTGTGATTGCTGCTGGTACAGCTGTGTTCTGTGAAACAGTGAATTTTATGTAAGCAATATGTCTTAGCGAAGGGCTGTAATTTATTGATAGCTTACATGTTTTGCATGTAAAAGGTCTCAGGTTCAATCAGTGGCATCTCCAGGTAGGCCTAGGAAAAGACTCCTCTCCAAACTTTGGAGATCTCTTCTCAGAATGTGAAGACAATCCTAAGCAAGATAGTATTAGTATTTGGCCCAGCAATTATTGTAGCTTTCTGGAAAATACAATTGGTCCCTAGAGATTGGGTTAACCTTTGGAGTGGGCAAATTCTCAGAATGTTTGAACGGGGGCCAAACTTACCATTCATGATGAGGTGGCCAAGGACTTCTCCATTTTCATTTTTGTTTACAGAAAGAAAATAAAAACTTTGCTACCACTTCAAACAGTGATTAGGCTGTTCTCAGAAGCCTGGCTGAGTTCATTTCTAATCTGGGACAAAATGCTTCCTAGGCATGATATGACATTCTTGGGTGGAGAGGAAGTGACTGTTTCCATTGGCCAGCTCTACATGCACACATTCTCCTCATAATGGTACATTATGAAGTCCCTTGCTTCATAAGGTTATTGCAATTTCATGTGATGTGCACCCATGTAGAAACTGGGAAATGTTGGCAACCCCCTCCTTACATTCAGTCCTTAAGAAAAACAGTCAGTCTTGGTTCAAGCATGGAAACCTGAAATAAAGAGTTGTCTTCACCTGAATGATGTACATTTTGAAGCTAAAATATTGACTTTGGGGCATATTTTCATATGAAGCCTGGCCTGCAAACTTCTTGCATGCAAAGGTGAAAAAGAAAGAGCAGTCCAGTCTGCCTCTCCTCATAGCAAATGCATGTGCTTTGTTTCTATGCCATGAGTAGGAATAAGTAAAAATAATTTCAGTCCCATTAATTTTTGTGGCTCTTTGGTATGTAGAACTAACATCAGATACTGATTTTAAGGAAGCTGTGTAGGGATGGTATCATGGCTATTTAGAAAGTAAGTGTCCCCGGTGTGGCATTATGGGTACCTTCAACGGTACTTAGCAAGAGGTCCTGAACATGGGGCCTGTGAGCATCCAAAAAACAAATGTATAAACCTTTTCAGGTTTTTTTAAATATACATACATGGATTTGTATGAAATGCATACAACTTTCTAGTAACTACACATAAGATTCAACAAAAGCAGACCAAATTTACAAATAAATATCCATTTGAAGGTGGTGTCTGTACGCCATCTGTTGAAAGTGTTGGAAGTCCTCAGTCCATTGCTTCTAGGAGGTGTTTAGCTTTCCACTGTCACATCATTATCATTATTACATTGTATTTCTATCTGACCTTTTCTCCTCTCATAAGGAACTCAATGCAATCTACATAGTTACATTTTCTCCTCACAACAGCCTTGCGAGGCAGGTTGGGCCGCAGGTCTGTACCTGGCCCAAAGTCACCCAATGAGCTTCATGGCTGAGTGAAGACTAGAACCCTGATCTCCTGGATCCCCATTCCAACATTCTAGCCATTCCACCGCACTAACTCTTGGTGCTTTAGATATCAAAGTGGTGCAGAAAATCAATTTATGCTGCCCATTTTTTAATTTCCATGAAGTAGGTAAATAATTGAAGAATGTGTACAGTGGCAATTGCTCCAGAAGAACCACAACATTTATCTCTGTAATGACCTTCTCACAAAATGAAGCAATTACCAGATATTGCCAAAAGACGTATTAGCTGTACTGCACTCCTAGTAGCTGGCTCAGACAATCCCACATTAAAGAGAGGGGTTGTGATGTGCAACAGACAGGAAAACAAGTTTTTGCTGAATAAGATGCAGCCTGAGGTCCATAGCATGACAGGTAGACACCAATGTGATCAGCCACTTAGGCATTTTGTGTTGGTGCCAACAGCATTTTCTCAAATGTGCCCAGGGTTCCAAAAAGTCTGAGATGTTTGATATATGTTATTATTGCTATGTATAAAGAATATGTATTGCCAAATCTGATTGACTCAGTAAAGTATATATAAGTTTCTTTTGGTCCTATCAGGAAGTGAAAGTCTCCAGTCCTGACTACCCCGAGAGAAACCGAGAGAATGTAATGGATGATTTCCTGAAGCGAATAGAGTGCTATAAAGTCACTTATCAGCCTCTTGATCCAGTTAATTATGACAAGTAAGATATACAGCAAAGAAGTCATAAGATTTCCATGTCATCACCTTGGGAGTAAAAAGCCAAGTGGCACTCCAGTCTTCAAGAGAGGTGACCTGCTGTGGGAGAAGGGGCAGGAAAAATTGCCTTCAACCCACCGACTTCCACTGGCACATCTCTGAAGCCAAAGTACTGTATTTTTTGAAAACAGATGCAGAGCAGATGTGTTGTTTTATCAATTTTGGAAATATATGGATCATAGGTAATGCTCTAAAGAAGCAGTAAGAAAGGAAGTTCAAGTGAGTTGAATTTGCTCTTTCTTCCTCCTGTTTAGAACATCCAACACCACTATGGATGTTAGCAGAAAGAGCGGTTTTATACCAGGATTTTTTATTTTTGGTCTCCTGGGACTGCCATTTCAGTTATTCCTTATGTGATTAAAGTTCTATATCATGGAGGACTAAAAATACTTTCTAAATGCCCCCTCAAGCCATTCTAGAATTAGGCTTCTGGCTTCAAAGCACTCATCTACTACAGCAAAAACTTGCTCATCATAGAAGTTGCATTGTAAGTGTATCGCTGTATGTCTAATATTTTAACTGCTACTGAGCTGTAAATAACATTGTTGCCAAAATTTATAGCTACCTGATCAGAACATGAATTTGCCCAGGTTCGACAGTTTCAGATAAAATACTTTCCTCATAAATTTTTCTCTGCATATGCACAGAATTTCATTTTACACTCTAAGCCAAGCAATGAATTTTCAACTTCCCCATACATTGTCATCTATTTTTCATTGCCAGTGAGTTAACCTGTCATAGTTTAAACAAAGTTATGCTTTGCAAGAATTCCTAAAGGATATTTAATGACCCAAGAGTTCTCTGACAAAGGTTGTGACTATTGAACCAATTCCATACAGAGTACAGGGGAATTCACCCATTGCCGGCTTATAGCAATGGGTGGTATTCTGTTATTACCATCCACCACTGGGAACAACTGGTTGTACAACAGGGGTGCAATGCTTCATAAAGCAAGCTGAAACAAATGGAAAGGCTTGTTTTAGGATAGACCAGGCCAGCAGTTTGCAGAAGGGAGCTCCACTGCCCTATCCCAATCCAAAGCCTAGCATTTCTGCCCATTTCAGCACTTGCTTTATGAAGTGCTATATTCACATAGTGTAAGCAGCAACTCCTGCTGGCATATCACAACCAGTGGGAACCCAGAAACCCTGCTGGATGCTGTCCTTTATTTACCCAGTAGTTTCATATCCCATATTTTAGGCAATATCCAGGTTTTGGTTTATTTCTTCATACCCTTCATAGGGATGTTTTTTAAATCACCATGCCAGTCACACTAGAAATCATGTAATGAATAGTTCACCACTTAAGTATACCAGGTGGAAAATGAGTTTGTCTGCTGTCTAGTCATGCATGGACAACTGAATAAACAAATGAAACAAGCTTGGCCATTATAGTGCCCAGGATAGCAGAATATGCTATCAGCCTGGGAGCAATTTGCACATCTTGGTGCATCGGTCTTTCTGTGTTGCTTCAAAGGTTTATATGATGTTGTAGTATTTGAGTTGATACCTAGTGATATGAAAATTCTATATGTGGTTATTAATCCAGTTCCCCATGTATTATTTGGATAATGGGTCTATTGGGCAGGTACAAGGCAGCTTCACAGAGTAATAACTGATGGGAGCTTCTATAAAGTTTATCTCCACACTCAAGTCATTTCTATATTCAAGCCACTCTGTGTTACAGCTAGTGAGTGAGGACTATGAAGTTGTGTGTCAGCCCTAAGATACTCATTTTCAATTATGGCTGCTAACATTTTAGCAGCAGGAGCTTCCAGGTAGATCAGTTTGATCTATTCAAACAGGGCCTTCATCGGCACCTATAAATGCACATAGATTCCCAATATAGTTTGTGTAAGTCAGTGGTTATCAATTGCTGTGGTGCTGATGTGAGGTAAACTAATCGTGAATACAGGTTCTCAAGGACTGTAAATCATGTATATGCAAAGGCAACTATGCCATTAATTATTGTCGTGTTCTGATACCCACTGTTTCTTAATTCCAGAGACCGTTCTTTCATTAAAGTGATCAATGTAGGGCAACGCTTTCTTGTCAACCGTGTCCAGGATTACATCCAAAGTAAAATCGTCTATTACCTCATGAATATTCATGTCCAGCCACGCACCATCTATCTTTGTAGACATGGTGAGAGTGAGTGCAACCTTGTTCGTAAGATTGGTGGGGATTCAGGCCTGTCAACACGTGGGAAGCAGGTATGACATCTAAGTGTGAGGTTTATTGCTCATATCATGTCCTAAATCAAGGCTCTTTTTTGTTTGTTTTTGCAGATGCTCAGTTTCTATTGAGCTGAAGGGTAGAAATATATAGCAGTCACATGCAATAAAACTTTCATCCTAAATTTATTCTCCAACTTGCACTCCTAATGGTGTAACAAATGAGCTCATTAAAAATAGCTGAACAAATTCTTAGATACTTACACATTTTCCATGTATTTCTCCTGGAAAAGCAGACTTTTTAAAATAAATATGTCAGTTGTCATAGAAACTTGTGACCATTTACATCAGCAAGGTTCTAAAGAATGTGCTATTGTCTATGTTCTTGTACGTGCTTTCTAGATTAGGGGTATGGAACAGTTTTGGGGTGGGATGTGAAATGGCCTCCGGTATGAGACCTGCTCTGTGGCATTGTGGGCTTTGGCCCAGAAGGAAAATGCCCATGTGAAACAAATCTGATTGGTGGAGTGACTGGCAGGATGGTTGGGGCACTTTGCCCAAACCACATTTTTGCCACTGTTATATATACTGAAAGGGTTTTGCTTTGCCCCAGACCCAAGTCATTCACACCTTCAAAATCCTCATTCCTTCATGCCACTGTAGCAGTCTTCCCCAGTCAATGTGAGCAACATGTAATGCAGGTTGATATTCACATCTTTGTGAGAATTAGCAAGGAATCTTTTGCTAGTGTCACTGTGAAATTTGCACAAGCCTCTTGATAGCACAATCTTGCCTCCTAGTTTGCACAAGCACTGAAAAAGTTCATCAGAGAGCAGGAGATTGTGGATCTGAAAGTTTGGACTAGCCAATTGAAGAGAACAATCCAGACAGCAGAGGCCTTGGGGGTACCATATGAACAATGGAAGATATTGAACGAGATTGATGCTGTGAGTAGAATACTGGAAAGGCTAAATGTTGAACCCATGGTGATGGGGTGGGTATTTTTTTTTTTCCAAGCAATTCATTTTGCCACATTTTTAAATCTTTCCTTTAAGACAGGGGTCTCAAACTCACAGCCCGCGGGCCAATTGCCGGGACGGGCGGGCACGGGGGAGGGGCCCTGTGGCCTTCAAAGTGCCGGCGGCGCCCAGGCCGGCCGCGGGATGAGCGGCCCACCACCAAGGCGGTGGTGGAATACTTGATGTGGCCCAGCCTCACCCAGACTCTACTTCCATTGGCCGCCAGGTAAGTTGAGTTTGAGACCCCTGCTTTAAGAAATCATGAGAATATAGCTATTCTGAATAATTAAGTCAGATTCAGATGCATCCTTAGTCTTAATTTCAAAAGCTTCAACTCAGTCGTATGTGCATTTATTCAAAAGTAAATTCCAGAGTATTCAGTTATTCTTACTCCAAAAGCATAGCTGCAAACCTGTGTGTGATAAGAAATGCTGTCAGAACTAATATCATATGTAGAACAACCCCTGTATGTTCTGAAATAAGTTTTCACAATCTCTTTGAATAAATGTCCCTCATGTCTTTAGGTGACACCAAGCCACACTGGGTTGCTTGTGTGTAAGCAACCCATGGTGTGCCTGACAGATGATGGGGATCAGTGTGGGTGCCCTTCTTCTTTGGTCCTTCCACAGGCATTGCAGGGGACTCAAAAGCAAACTAGTGTGTCCTCTTTCCCCCTACTGCAATTGTGAGCCCTTTTGTATTCACTATGGCCCTTTCCCCCCTCGGATCTTTCTCCCCAGTTTTATTCAATGTAGAGCAGGTACTAACCCTGGACACTGATCCAGAGAGTGTCCAAATAGGGTTATTTTCACTTTGCTTTGACTTAACAGCTGTTAAAATGCAAGCTGTCAAATCAAACCTTAGGCATGAGTTATCTTTGCTCACAAAAGGGGAATGGTGCAATTTATACTCCTTTCGTAGTATGATCCTCATTTAGTTAGTTATTTTTGTCGTGGATGTACTTGAGGTCTTCCAATTTTCCAGTTTTTCCAGTGGTTAAGGTGCTTAAGAAAGTGGGAAAATGCAAGCTAGCCCATTTGTGGGAGCATGAAGATGACATCTATCAAAACACAGGCTCCCTTTTAAACAGGGTTTTTGACAGGGCTAACTGGGCTTAAAAAAAAAGCATCATATGCAACATCAAGTCTGGTTTGCTCGACATACCAATACACCATGACTTATAACCCATGGTGGGTTGTCATGTCATACAAACTCAGCCATTGAGAAATTGTGTAGCTCCAGAATACAAATTTTTATTTCTCTTTGCTCTTCTGGAATTACTTTGTTTTGCTAGGGAGTATGTGAAGAAATGACCTATGAAGAAATTCAGAAGAAATATCCAGAAGAATTTGCACTTCGGGATCAAGATAAATATCTTTATCGCTACCCTGGAGGAGAAGTGAGTTTTTATAATTAGTTAATAAAAAATATCATTTTAACTTCATAGGATTAAAGATTACATGGAGATAGGAAGCTTTCATTTCCCATTTTTATTCATTGCACCTGATCATTTCAACCAAACTCAAAAAAACTGTGGTTAATTTTAATTATATTTGTTTGTAACACACTAATAGCAGGCCATGAATTAACAAAAAATGGAAGTGAAAACTTCTGAACTTCTTGTGACTATGCCAGAGTAGGGGAAAGGCTACTCTTTTCTTTCACTATAAACCATGGCATGGTTTGCCATGATGTCCAAACTTATCTATTATCAAATCCTTGGTGATGTATAAGGATCATCTGAAATCATTGCAAGCCTGCCAGATAATCTCAAATCTCAAGTTGTTGTACATTATAGATTTTTAAAATAAAAATTCAGACAGTTTTTTATAAATTGGAATAATACTCATAACACAGGGGAAAGTTCCTGATCTTTAAGATAGAGGTATCTTCTAGCTCTGTGTAACTTTTTTGTCACTTGCCTACCTTAAGTATTTTCTCTTGGAATGGTCACATTTGAGCTGTGTGTTCTCTAGAATAAGGCTTATGATTTGTTAAACAGATACAAATATATTAACACAGTGTTACATTAATTCCTTTCAAACAGTGATCACTTTGAAAAGTTTTCTGTGTGTGAAATGAGAAGACTTCTTTGTTTCTGACCAGTATTTTATTTTGTTTGTTAGTCTTATCAAGACTTAGTCCAGCGCTTGGAGCCTGTGATTATGGAGCTTGAACGACAGGGCAACATCCTTGTTATTTCTCACCAGGCAGTTATGAGATGCTTACTGGCCTATTTCCTTGATAAGAGTGCAGGTAAAAAAATCTAACCATTCTTTGTACATCTGCACCAATGCGAAGGAGGTCCTTATTGGGAACAACACAGGGCTAACAAAGACATGATGTCAAATGCATCATCAATAACCTCAACAGGGTTGTGTTGTTATTATTTACCAATAAATAAATGAAGGCAGGTATGCTTTCATAAGGACTATAGTGAGAAGAGATTTAACTCTTTCCTCCCCTGCTGTGGTCCATCTCAGATAGTGATAACTGACTAGAAACGAGAACTTAAAGCTGTGGTTGACAGCTTGATGAAAATGTTTGCCCCGCTTGTAGCTGCTGAGGGGAAAAAAGCAAATTCCACATTAGGAACAAAAATGAGAGGAATAAAATGCAAAATGATACTCCATTATACAAATCTATGGTGCAACTACACTTTTGAGACTGTGTCCCAGTTCCGCTCTCTTAATGACTACACCACACTGGCTCTCAGCCTAACCTGTCTCACAGGGGTGTGGTTGTTAGGTTGTTATGTGCATAAAATGAAGAGAAAGAAAACCATGTAAGCTGCCTTGGCTTCCTTGCAAAATGCAAAAAGGCAAGAAAGGTAGAGTATAAGGGCAATGTAATAATAATAATAATAGTAGTAGTAATAATAATAGTAATAATAATAGTAGTAGTAGTAATAATATGCATCAAGTTTCACTGATAAGACATATTAGGCTGTTTAACTACCTTCTTAACCTGTTTCCCACGTTCTCTCAGGGTCACTCTTCTGAGTTTGTAGATCCATTCATTCATGTTTATAGTTAACTTCCTGTGTATTGAGGTAACAAGGAGAGTTCCAGATAGCACATTTTGCATTTTGAACCATGCCTGAGACATCTATTTGTTAATTTCTCCTTATATTCTTATAGATGAGCTACCCTACCTGAAGTGCCCTCTTCATACCATCTTGAAACTCACACCAGTTGCATATGGTAAATATCTGCTTACGTATTTATTAGATCATGCTTCAGTGGGAACAAAGGAGAAGAAATCCTTTTAGCTAGCTTAAGACTTTAAAATGCCTGTGGAGAAATAAGTCCCAGTGAGTTTAATATGGCTGTTTAGTAAGCATGTAAAGAATTGCAGTCTTAACCTCCAAGAAACTTGTTTTCCATTGTAAAGTGGCCCATAACTTAAAAAAAGTTTGTCAGAAATTTAAAAAAGGTCCAGTCAAATGTTTTGGGGCCATTGTTTTGTCCAGCTGTTGCATAGGCCTTCCCCCATTGCCCTGTTTCAGTTTTGGAACTAAGTTATTTCAGTTTTTTCTTGGTATACATTGCTTTTTTGTTTCTCTATTTTTTTCTCCAAAGTAATACATGATTTTAAAGTTTCTTGTATTTTCAAATTTGTAAAGGGTGCAAATTGGAAATGATTTCCCTGAATGTTGAAGCTGTGGACACGCACAGAGACAAGCCATCCACAATAGTATGTATTTTATAGAAATCCTTGCTTGTGTCTTCTGTTTTACATATTGAGAGTTCTGTCCATGACTATGTTGACCTGAAGTACTTGAATGTAAACTGTTCAGCCCCATTAACTTCAACAATCTAGGCCAAAGCATTCAGCTTCATTAAGTATATGGATCAAGTTGTAAGGGTTCATATAAGGCCTTTGGAAACAATAAGAATTTCATAGTTAAATGCAGATATAGCCTACTGTGTCCTCACTTGAAAAGAGATTAGGATTTTTCTGGCACACTCAGCCTTCCAAAATTTTAGAGAGAGATTGATCCTCTTGCAGTAGTTTCTTAGGTTGAAATTTTCTGTGAGGAGTTCTAATATTTAAAAATAATATTTAAGTATTTAGCTCTGAATAATGCATCCCTTTATGCATTTTGGAAAAAGAACTGCCTTTCAGGACAGTATGCTTTGAAAATGTTGGACATGAATGTTCTAACCTTCTTTTTGAATGTTTTAGAGTGTTTAAATGTGCTATAAATGACCTTAGATAAAGAGAAAAAACATTATGCTTAACCATATTCCATCTACAGTCCGTTTTGTTTGCCGGTATATTGAGCTATAAAATATACAATCCACAACTATAATAATTTTCTCCTTCAAAAGCTGGACCTAAGTCACTCAGATATTTAGTCATTGTTACTTTTGGTAAACAGTTATGTCTGTTTTTAAAGCATTTTAAAGCAGTAAAATATGTCCTGTGTTTATAACCGCTTGGGAAATCTTCCCATCACAGGTTAAGGGGAATTTATCATGCATCCAACTAGACTAGAAATCTGGGGAAGCTAAGTGATTGTTAACCCCCCCTCCCCCTCAACATGTGGGTCCAGCTCTGCTATTAAAATTTCTCTACAGCATTTCGTGGAGTTCCAAAGCATTAAATGCTTTGAACATGTTACATTTCCAAGATGTTGCTGATGCTAGTTTCCAATATGACATAAATGTATATCCTAGGAATTTGCTGGTTGAAGGTTTCACTTATTATTAACACTAGAAGTCTAGGGAACCACTGTATTGGAACTACTTAGGTAGGTGTTTTTTTTCAAACATAAGGTCTTATTTTTCTCAGTTTGTAATGTTAATTTAAAAAATGAATATTTCCAGAATGTACATTTCCATTACAAAAAGCTTTTCTCTTCCGTTCTCCTGAAACAAAACTCACTCTTTTACCAGTACCCCAGCCATCAATCTTCCACATCTAGTGTAAATTACACACAGACTGGCTCTGTTGTGTATTTTGAAATTCTCACAAAGGAAATCAATACGGAAAATGCTGTAAAGAGAAAAGCTACATGGCTATCTGGGCAAGCATGTATATAAGCAATGTGGGAAGAAGTATATATGGACTAATATGGTCCTATAATATGGCCAGTTTTAGGACTTAGAAAGCTTCTGTTTTGTTTTTAAATAAGGCTCCAGAAGTGAAATATTCTTGCATTGATTTGAATTCTCACTGAATTTCTGGACTAGTCAAGAAAGCGAAGACATTTCCTTAAGAAAAATAGAAAAAGAAACTAAAACTGAATAGTTTGTAGGGTGGCCAGGTCTCCTACTATTCTCTGTTCTGGGGAGCTATCAGAGGATTATCCTCTATTTGAAGGGTTATCTGGTTCAATTCTAGTTTCACTGCATAACCTATAGGTGAAACTGTGCTATATAGTAGAATAGCTCAAATACACAAGACAAAACAAAGCCATTTCCCACATTCAAACATAATATCCCATTTTCCCCATTCTAAAAATAATGAAAAAACAGAAGCAAATCTGGGGGACATTGTCTAAAGGGTCTATAAACAGTGAGTAAGGAACCACAAGATTACAATAAAAGACTTGCGGGAAACATGTCCTTGCAATGAACCTTTGGATAAGGTCCCAAGTTCATTGTAAGAAAGCATAACAGTACTGTAGTATAACTTACTGACATTTCCTCTGTGACTGTTCCATGCAAGAGCAAGAGAAGGATGTGTGAGGCTTTGTGCCATCATGAAAGCTGCTGAAAGATACATGTCGGCACAACCCTACACCCAGGAATATGTCTACTAAGTAACTCTCAAGTAATTCCACATTTTCATCAAAGGATGATGCTTTATCTGTAGCAGCAAAAAATTGGGTTGTCTCCAGTTTCAGATATAGTTACAGTAAAGCCACTGAGATCAGTGAGACATCAACAAATCATGACTAACTAAAGTTCCATTCATTTCAATCGGTCCTCTCTGACTACATCTGGATCCAAAACCTCCACTGTAGAAAAGTAGAGTCTGAAAATCAGGGTCCCTGTGAAATTGCCCCAGTTTCAGAAATCAAACAGCTAGAACTTATCTAAGAGGAATATCTGAAGTCATATAACTTGTGGGGAAGATTTATATTATGTATAAAGAGACCTTGAGCCATATTCACAGCAAGTCTTTTTTAAATTGACCTTGGCCAGAGCAGAATTTTGTTTTTGTTTTTCTTTTCCTTGCCTTTTGATTCCCTGGTAAGCTTTTGCTGAACTTTACTGAGATTGCTTAACTAGAAAAATGCACATTTCACTAGATTTCCAAATCTAATTCATTCTGATATTAGGGGAACAGTTAGAAGATGCCATTTCAGTTGATGTTTCAAGATAATGAAAGGAAAGTTAGCACTGTCACTCTATAATGGCTTTCCCAAAAATTTGTAGATCAGTTCTTTTAGATATTTTCACAATTAGTATTAGTTTACAGAAGGTGATGGAGATGTTCTGTTATGGATACAGACAACTGTATCCAGTGATGACTTGTGCAGTGAGAGGCTCCTGATTCATCCTTACCTACTGCAGCCTCTGTGTTGTACCCCAAGAGGTCCTCAGCCCTCTTGGAGCAGCTTTTCAGATGTGTGATGTGAGGGACTACAGTTCAGCAAAACCTGGTCCCTTGCTTTGCTCAGGAAGATGCAAAGCCACCTCTGTTATAATATTAGAACTTGGAGTCTATTGCACTTGTGTCCTGCTTGTGGGTTTTCTGTGAGCAGCTGGTTCACCACTTGGTGAGCAGAATGCTGACCTAGAAGGACTTTTAGTCTACTTCAGCATGGTTCTTAAAATACAGTACTGGGCTGCTGAATCTTTGTGTTGGAGAAGTAGCAAATTATACCCTTTTCTGCACCTTAGAGGAGCTACAAGTAGGAGGGGGAAAATCTCCAACTTCTGTGGCACAGGAAAGAATTCATTGGCCTGGTAATATATCAACAGGCCTCAGGATACAGCAATAGCTGGATGGCTGGGTACTTGAGTGAATTGTAAAAGAGAATGGAAATTCTGTACTTTCTTTGAAAATGAGTGCACCATGGCAAGTAGTTATAAATTTCTGTGAACTACCCACGGAGCCTTTGAGCTGATGGACAGTGTAAAATATAATAAATACATAAAAAGTCATGTGTTTATGTTTATCATCAGAAATACTCAGGGTAATAATATTGATTTAAGATCTTGTAGCTCAGTTTGTCAAGTCTTATGATATCCTCCCTTTTCAATTAGAACAACCTTCCAAAGAGCCAAACCCCTGTAAGGATGAGAAGGAACAGCTTTACACCACTAGCCAGTCCGGACACAGTAAAACGGCCTCGCAATTACAGTGTTGGGAGCAAGCCTCTCAGTCCAGCAGGGTCTCTGTTGTTCCTGGAGGCTCAGGATGGGGCTGATCAACAGAAGCCGCAAGACAGTGTTCAGGTGGTAATTCCTCTATCCTTACCTTCCATCCCAGTCCAGAATAGTACAAAAAAATTACACAGCATTATGGTGCATGCCATTGCTGTTCTCCAATGTAGAGAATGTGATTTTTGCATTACCAGTGAAAATTATTGGGGAGGGCTTACTTGCAATTATTGAATAACACTACGATCAATGGCCAGCATCCAAGGAGCCATCCCTGGGAGATTAGGATGCTTCTGTGCCACGGTATCAAGTTGTCTGTTTGTCTTTCAAGCTGCAGCTTTCTGCAGCACATCTAAAGCCACTTTAAAGAGTCCCCTGACCTTCAGGTGTGACTTATCAAGGAAGGCACGGCCCAGAAGACCTAGATACAATGACCTCTATGCATGACCTTTTGGATCTTGGGCAAAGACCTCACCCCACCAAATGGTTAAATTTTTCGAATGCTTCAGCACTGAGGATTTCAGCCTAAGAGTTTTAGTTTTCAGTGACTCAGGCTGCTACATCTAGCCCTTAGCTTGAATAAATGTGTGTTTTCACCTACTTGTCCAGTGCAGTTTGAGTGCATTGCCAAATAACTATTGTCTTCTTTCGGCAAAAATTGCTGTTTGTTTGCCTGTTTTTCTTTGGTTTTTCTTTTTATCAGCTGCTGCTTTCTCAGACAATGGGATACTTTCTAAACATATGGTTATGAACCAGTTTTGCAGTGGGTACTTCAAACCGAGGCTTCTGCTAGGGCAGGTTCCTGGGCAGGAACTGATTAAATCAGACTTCCCCAGTCTAGCACTCTCCCTGTGTTTTGAACTTCAAGTGGCATCACCTGATCCACCATAGCCAATAGTCAAGTAGTCTGGAAGTTGTAGTCTAAAACATCAGGAGGGTACTAGATTGGCATAGAGACAAAAATCGTTTGTTTTGATAGGCCAGAGGCCATATTCTTATGGCCTAGCTTTCTGCTGTACTATATGAATAAAACTTGTGCTAGAGGCAAAACTCTGCAGTGGGAAAAACTCTGCAAATTAAAGGTGGCATGGAAAACTGGCTTTACTTTGTAGAACTTTTCCTCAGTAGCATCACTTTAAAAAACAGCAACTGACAAAGGCCAATGGTCTCAACTCCAGCAAATTGCTCATACCAAACCTGGAGTGTGTCTCTTGGGCAAGTCTTAAAGCATAGGTGAGAGCTTTTTAAGCACCCTTCTGCTCATTTGCATCAGCTTGAAAAAGAGCTGTGAATATGATTGTGCCAGCCCAGTAATTCTTTAACGTTCATTTGCTTGCATTGTGCAGTTGCTTTCGATAGAAGCTGACTTTTATCTCCTTCTTTTTGGAGATTGCTTCCATCCTATTTTCCACATGCTGTTCTGCTTTTTTGCTTTTTATGTCTTCATTGAACTGCAGCTTGAGCTTTCCTCTGCTATTTTTCTTTGCAGCATCAAGTGGGAAGTGCTTCCCTGTGAGTATCACTGAGACCATCTTGCATGTGGTGTTGTATGATTTGATTAAGAGACATTTACCAAGAGATGATTAGATGTCTAATGAGAAGGAAAGTGTGCATGAAGATAAGGTATAAACTAACCCTTCTGTAAACTGGAGTCCATATAGGTTGGGTGAAATATATTATTCCATAGATCAATAGCCATTTGTATATTTCTAATTATCTGTGTGAATCAAGTTCAGAACCTATCTTTCAGCAACCTTGATAAAGGCATGTTTTATCTTCTTCACTTCACACTTTACCTTCTCAGATATAAATCTAAGATCTTTCAAGTTCTTATAAAAATGTGAAGCATGAATGTGATAAATACATGTTTTAGGTGTCTATAATATTCATACAGTGGGTTGTATCCAATTGTAGTCATACTAAGAGTAGACCTTTTGAAATGTGTGACATTTAAGTTAGGCTAACACCGACTTCTTTCACACATCATTGGCTAGGCAGGGTCTAAGCAAACCCTGGAAAGCCCAGAATGATCAGGAATTAGTGTCCAGGGATTTTTCAGCTCAGCAGGAGCAGCAAGCTAGCTTGCTCACTCACTCCAGTTTGATCCATATTTCAGTCAGTGAACTGAGGCAGTGGTTCCACTTTGGTCAGCAGCAACTCTCCAATGTCTCAAGCTGAAATCTTTCCAAACTCTGCTACTTAGGATTCTTATTTGATTAGAGGTGCAAAGTGCCAAGAGCCGGTGTGGTGTGGTGTGGTTGTTAGAATGTAAGAGACTGGAGACTTGGATTCTAGTCCCTACTCAGACATGAAGCTTACTGGGTGCGCTTTGGGTCACAGACTCTCAGACCAACCTAACTCATAGGGTTGTTGTTGCAAGGATAATATTGAGAGAAGAAAAGGGAAAATTATGTAAGCTGCCTTGAGTTTTTTGAAAGGGAAAAATGTAGGATATAAATAAATAAATGCCCTAGAATACTATGGATGCAAAGCAACTGCTGTACCATTGTAACAGACCCGACATAGTCCATAGATGTGCACTGAAAGGAAAGAAACAACCAGCTGCAGTCCCCATTTGAATCTATATTGATTTGTACATTTCTGTATTAGGATGAATGCTTTTTAAAAAAACATGATTCAGGGCTAAATCACAGCTGTTTCTTCTAGGCAGGCTGTGCGTTCCCATGGAGGTTGGATAAAGGCCTAAAAACAAAAAATTGGGCACTTTGACATGGACACATTCCAAATGTTAATCCCTGCTTTGACACACATTCCCCTCTTTAGGCCCAGGTTACAGTGTATATCCTCTGCCAATCCATCACCACTTCTGTATGTCACAGTGTCACAGGGAAAGGACTATGCTGAAAACCACTCACCATATTCTAGTAACAAGAATAGAAGCCACCACTTTGCAGAAACTTCCCTGTGTATCTTGCATCTTAGATTCTTAGTGACTGTACACTATTTGAGCCACACTGCATTTCTATGAATTAATCTAATGCTACCAAGAGTGACTAGATGCTTTGCAAACTTCCAAGAGTAGTAGATTTGGATGTTACACATTTGTTCACTCATTAGCTCTACCATGTTGTGGAGGGATCCCTCGTTTCTCATTTATTTAGCTTTATTTAAAATATGTCTCTACTGCCTGTCCTGTAAAATATATCCAGAAAATAAACAAAAAAGATCAAAATGAGAGTCATCATAAATCATCAAAGTCCTTCTTGGAAAGGAAACTAAAAGCAAATGGATTTGCTATTGATCACACAACCCCTGTACACCACCATATTCTCAAGATATGGCACATTTTAAAATAGCTCAGGCTATATGAGTTATGCAGCATAGAATAGACAATATTGCCAGTTGCCTAAAAGGAACAGCATAGGAAGAACTGAAAAACACTGTATTCTGTTTCTTCACCATAATATAAAGGGATATGTCAATGGCCTGTTATTCCCCGATCTACAGGGAGAAATCAGACGCAATCAGCCGTGAGCCCCTGGTGTCTGTCTCTCCACCAAGTGAGATTGACCCATGAAAGAAGCATTTGCTACAAACCTGTGTGCAGAAGGGCCAGTCTGTTACATATCCTTCCTCCCGTGTTGTTTTGCAGCTATGCTGGCCTGCACTCCCATCTGCTGTGTTATTTGAGCAAATGTGACTGGTAAATCTTTCGATACCAGCTTTTTCCATTTTATGTGTGAACCTGACCTGTATTAATATTTATTAATCTGCCATTTTAAAAATGCAATTCCATGCTAGCTGTTGCTGATGAAGTAGGGTGTGTGCGTGTGTGAGTGTCTGTGAAAATTTATATGTGAAATTTCCCCCCATATATGCTGATGTTGGTGACAACTCCCTTGAAACACCTGTAGGAGCTTATTAATGGAATGCAGCTTTCCTAGAAACTGTAATCCATGTATAGTCACTTGTTGCTTGTGAGTGTGATTTGATAACCTTGCAATAGAAAATATTTGATATGCATTTGCTTTTTGTTAGGAAACGAATGCAAGGAAATTTGACTCAAGTGTCTAGGATGTAGTTTGGATACTTGGCACTACTGCCATGTTTTGCCTTAATGGAAACATTCTCAAAAGAATGTAAATATGATTTGTGTAGATAATATACTTTCTTATTAGCCTACAATGCTTCCATTTTTTGTTGGTTGTCCTGAGAGTGTTTGTATGTGTGTCTCAAGCGTTACTGCTTAAATTGCTATAATTGCCATCTTGTTTTGTTTTCAAATCCTGACAAATGGTAACGTTGTGAGCCTGCACTCACCTCCCCACTCAAGTCAAGCTGATCTGGTTTGCTGTGAAATGAGACAGGTAAATACAACCAGGTTTAGGTGAAGGACTGCACAGGTAAAATGGCACAAATTCACCGTTAAAAAATATATTTCTATACTGCCCAAAAGCTGAAGCATTCTCTATGTTATTAAAGTTCTCTAATCAGAATGCGTCAATGACATAGTGATACATACGAATAAAAGAGAATTTTTGTTCTCTTTTCACAAGTGCTCACTGTTAAATGAGGTGAGCAAAAATGCACGAATTTGAGCTCTTGTAAGACAGAGGTTATACTGAACTAACCAGTACTATATTAACACAGGCATTTATATGATTTGATTTCTACCACCCTTTAACAACTTTTGACTATGTGACTAAAAGGGAGCTGTTCAGGCTTACTGGAGGGGTGGTCAGTACCCTGACCCTTTATTTAATTTGCTTTGCTGTCAAACCATCCCGAGACTTTGGTGGTGGACAGTGTTTGAATGAATAATTAATTAGTTTTACTTCTTCAGAATTAAAAGAATATGAAGCCTTTTTATCTCACTCAGGCAGGAGGACTTCACAAGCTTCCTCTATATAATTCTGGTATTTTTCCCACTTCTCCATTCTTGATCACTTCAACCTGATAGTATGCATTTCTAGGCTAAAACCTGGTTGTATAGATATGATTTTGTCAGGTACACATTTCAGCACTTTGAGAAAGGCAACGCCAGTCCTGAAACTGCTACAGAAAGAAAAGATTGCTATCTTGGACACTATTTGCAGGAAATAGTACTTTGTCAGATAAACCTTCAGGATGAATGTATATTTCTCTGCATACTGTAGAGCAGATGCCTACAACATCCTCCTTTAGTTTTTGTGGACCTACACAAAGTTCAATTGCTCTTTGACAAGGCTACATTTAGCCTAAGGATAGAAAGTGGAAGTTGAGATATGAGTTACCTTTATGAATAAACATGCTATTAATTATGGGACTACCACTGCATTACAAATTAAAATACTAGACTGTATTCTGAAGTCTAACATAGCTAGTTTTGTTCTTAGGAATGAAAGTCAATAGCTTCATCCTTTTTAATTGACTATTGAACAATTAAGGGCAGTAACAGCCAAATCTTGTGGCCTCCAGATGGTTATAGGAGTTTTTTGATTTCCAGCTACAACCTCATAACTGGCAAGCCCTTTCTATCTTCCACTTAGAACCAGAAAATCTACCTCAGAGAAAGGCTTTTGGGGCATTTGCGGTGCAGGCAGGGTAGGGAAGAGATGGGTACCACCATGATATCATTTATCCTGACAGTGCCTGGGCTTCCTTCCTTCCCACTCCAAAGTGCGACACTAGGGTGACCACTGGCTCTTTGTCCCTCCCATTCAGACCTGTAATCCTCTGAGTTCAGATGGTTAATGGGCACCTCCACAGAACTGGGACGTAAGGGAATGAAGAGATCTCTTTTATAACACTTGTCAACATCTGCCATTTTTGTAGTGTCCAAGGTTAAATCACTATTGTCTGTCACTGAGTGGCCTTATTCCATTCCTTTTATTTGTAGCACATTATACAAAGCTATTTTTCCATGTAAAATTAGGGGTGGAAAGGGAAAGAGATGTTTTTACACACACACACACCCCTACCTTTTTTAATGCATTCTGCAGTGTTTGTGAAAGGAATTCTACCTATTTTCAGCTGTAGCAAAAATATAGTAAAAGCTTGTTTCCTTTAGAGGTCCTGTTCTCTCTTTTGAAGTCTGCCATTATATTGTGGGCTCTCCTACAATGTTATGATTCTTCTTTGAACAATTATGAGAAGTATGAACTCAGGAGCATGATGTAACCCTTGAAAGAATCAACTGAACTTTTAAAAATGATATCTTTTAATTTGTCAGTTTGCAAAAAGCATTTGTGTGGAAGAACTGCCTTTTTCTTGGGATGAACAATTGTATTTCAACGTAGAGAGTGGTTTGCCTTGTTGCCTTTGGCTGCCAAATGATAAACTTGAAATAATAATGAAATTATAGCAAGTACATTAAATATTTATTTGTGCAACTAAAAGCAGTGTGACTGTTTTACAAAAGCTGTAATAACGCACAAGCTTAAATCATGATCTCTTGTATTGCACATGTAAATAAAAATATTTTGCACTTAGTCAAAATGTATATGAAAACAATATATCAGAGGTCTTTTGAGGCTTCTTAACCCTCTACAATTAATTCATTTTGCCATCTCTTTTTTTTTTATAAACCACAAACATTTTTCAGGTGTTGAAACAAAGATGCAGGGCTCCCTTTGCTTTATTAGGCCACCCACTGATTTTTGTGGCAACTAGGGCCACATCCAACATCATGCAAGTAGACTTCTGCTTTTGCCTTCCCTTTCTCCTATTCCAATTTGGCTACATTTGATATTGCTTCTGAAATGGGAACTGTGGCTAGTTTTAACTACAGACTGTAACTTACAATTCAAAGTTGGTTTGTTCAGACAAATCATAGTTAAACAGTCCTAGTTCAGACATAACAGCAAACCATGCTGTGTTAAAAAAAAAAAGCAAAAACTTCCTATTTTCTTAGCTGCAGAATGAGAAGGGGGTGTATGACCCTCGGATTTATGTGTTATACTAGAACACGGATGTTTCTGTTAAAAATTGTGTTTTTTGAATATATATTTCAAATCACTTGCATCAAGACACCAGGATCCCAAAGCTGCAAAAATGAAAACATATTAGCACAGAGATATATAGAATAATGAAGGGTCTAGACTGAAAAAGATGAATGTATGGAGTAGCAAAGCTAGACCTGATGATTTTAACAAGCACGTGTATATAGGCAGATGGACCACATGAGAACCACATGATAGTTCTCACCCATCTTCTATTTCAGAAGTTAGCTTAGCTTATGGAGGTAAATTATGCAGGTTGAGAAGTGGTTCTTCAGAAAATATTTTTTTAATCAAAGTCTTGTATATCTATCTCATCATGGGTATGTGATTTAATTTGTGGATCTATATGTGCAATTCATGAATGTGTACTCCTTCTAAAAAGCACCAGATTGTTGTGTTACTTGCTGTACAGAAAGAAAGATAAAGCCAGCAGTTTTTTCACATTGCCAGAATTTGGTAGCCTGAATATCAATATTGTGATGACCTGTCTTAAATGTCTTTGAACGACGAATTTCCTTGTGAACCAAGTGAATAAAATTATTCTGCAAACGTAAACCACCAAGCTGCACTGTTTTTCTTACCATCATTTATTCCCAGTGTCCTTTTGAAAATGAGTAACCATTGTAAAGCAGAAGATAAAATGGCACTTTTTAATGTGTGTACAGTTCATTCTCTGATAAGGACAACTAAATGTTTCATATTGTGGCTGGATTCATTAACTGTGATGTTTGTTCTGCATGTGCTTGTAGTACCTGTATAATGTAACAAATATTTCTGCAGTTACTGTTTTATACGAACTACCTGGTTTTATTTGTCTGAGCCATAGTTTCTCCTAGCACTGGGCATGTCTTTGCTCATTTGAATGAAGTATATGAACTAGAGAAAGGTACCAGAGAAACACTGTAAAGAGATAGTCTGTTTATTAAAATGCAAATAATAAAGATACAAATAATTTTTGAAGTGTCAGGGCCTGAACTTCAAAAACAGGTTTAAGGAGCTACTAGAACTGGCATTGCTGTATTTGTTTCCTTTATCAATCTCAGTTTTTCCAATTTGTGCCAGCTGCAAGATGATTAAGGTTACATTTATAAGCCAGAGGGAGTTAATTTAATTAATGTTCAGGGTTTCTGCCTTATTGTGATTTGCAATATGTAAACTTCAAAGTACAAAATAAACAACTATGATAACCAATTCAAATTGCTTTCTGAGAATATGTGGGGTTTGTTATTCCCATTAGAATTCTATGTTAAGCCTGATTTAAAATGGTTACATGGAAAGTGGAAAGTGTGAATGTGATTCAGGGGGTATCAGTTACAAGCATTCTGATTATGCTTTGATCAATGTAAGCAAATTTCTCTTTTACATTCATCTAGGATATTTTTAGGCCAGTGTTTTGCAAGCCAGACTATGCTGTTACATTCTTTAAATAGTGTTATAATAGGATCATGGTTTATGGTTTTTCAAGGCAGATTTCAACTATTTGGATTTCTTTGAGAGAGAGAAACATGTTACAACATGAGAGATGGAGATGAAATGCTCTGGAGGACAATATGTGTATGGCAGTTGGGGAAAAAAAGCAGTATAGGGAAGGGATTCCTAATGTAGTTTCTAGTGTGGAGACGTCCCAGGGTCACAGTCATTCTAGAAGAGGAGCACTATTTTTCATGGTGTGAGCAGCACTGCTTAAAATCTTAAGATGCAGTGTGGTTTAAAATCATAATTGTTACTCTGATCTTACTGACAAACACTTTCATCTTAATAACAGCATTGTTCAAAGTGGCACTGGGAGTGCCTTAAGATTTAGGTTTTCATAATTTTAATTTTTTAAATATTTGATTTCTCTTTTCTAGAGAAGAACTGGCCTAGCAATGTCCTAGAAGTAAGCCATTTGAGCCATGGAAAGTCAAAATGGAGGCCTCAGAAAATAAATCACCCAGGACCCAAAGCCTGTACATGTGATGCTGCTGCTGCTGACTTAAGGGGCTTTCAACCATGGTGAAGCACTGTATTTTCTGGACCAATGGCACATACTCTGATATCTTTAAAATGGTAGTGGTGAAAATTCATTGTGGTAAATGCTGTAAAACTAACATCTAACCCTAGGGCAAACTTGCTTTTACTCTCTCAAGCTCTGCAGATGCAGATATAGAACTTCTAGAAACCATGCTTTCTTGAAACTTAAGGCATATTTGTACTGCAAATGTAAATCAGCTTGAAGTGTTATGGTTCCCAGTGAAATAAAAGGAAAGGCATTTCTGACAGCAAACTATCAGCAATCCCGTGGAACAATAACTCTTAAAATTCTTTGTGGAAAGCCTTAACAATTAAACTGGTTTTAAACATGTTTAGATCTGTGAATACACATGTGCTGTAAGACAGGTTTTTCCCCTACCCCACCACATGCAGCTTTTTTTTTAATTACCCAACTTAGATTGCACTGTATGATGTTGGAAAGCTTTTCCTCCTAGAGGAAATTCTGAGAAATCCTTTAAAGAAGCTGACTGCCTATATATACCCTTGCTAATTCAAGACAATCTCCTGTTGAGCCCTGACTCATTTTAGTATGTACCATTCACCAATCCGTAAACTTGATCAAGGGACTGATCTAGGAAACTATCCAGAAAAGTCAAAGAATGGGCAATAACCTTGTTTCCCAGTCACTGTAATATATAACCAATTGAACCTAAGCACATCATCCGGGAATGTATCAGCTGCATAAGGGAAAGAGGTTCTAACTAATCAGATCAGGGTACACTTGCCACATCCTTGGGGTTTTTCCTCTCTTTAATATGCACATTTTTTAAAAAATGCAAATTGTCAATATGAGGGTTCATAATTACAGGAACAGAAGAGGTGATTTCACTCTCTGCTACAGTCCTGGTAAAAATAATTCCTCCAAGACTTCTGCTGTTTCCTCCCAATGTAAACAGTTGCCTCAGACAAATGATTTTTGTCAGGACTGAAGCAGGAAATGAAAAGGGTTAAATCTCCCCATTTCTGACTGCCCAGATAATTGTTAATTGTTCATACCACCTGTTGCTAGTATTTTAAAAGATATCCACATTAAATGCTAAGACATTTTGAAAGGGTATAGTCTAGTCCTAAATTCTGGGCTTGGAGCATAATAGCTCTCTGACACTGAGTTAGAAATTATTTTCAAGGTCTCTCTCCTGCCCGTCTGTATTAATTGTTGATCTGTACAATTTGCCTGGGTTCTGGCACAAAAGATGTGATGATTCACTCCAATTTGTGCTTTCAGAAATCATGAGAAGCTACTTAATTCCTGAATCCTACATAAACTTAGCATATAAACACATACACTGTTGAGTTAAAGGGTTATATAAACTTTATTTTTTTAACCTTGATTTTTGATGAATTAGCTATTAGAAAATGAGTCATAGGAATTCCAATCCTATATATGGTTGTTCAGAAGCTAGTCCCATGCTCAGTAGGATTTACTTTCAGGTAAGTACACACATGATTTTGTAAAAAATCCTCCTGCTACCACCAAGAGAGAAATCATGCATTTTATATTCCACAAAATATGAATGCAACTCACTTCTAAGTAGTTTTAATGGGCAGCAATCAATTTGGCAAAGCAAGCAGCTTCGAAATGGTGGGGGAAGGTTCTGAGTCTGATGTGATTCTACCTGTCACCCCCATGTTGCCAGAGGTCTGTGTGAGCATCAAGAAGTCTTATTTATTTATAGCATTTTTATGCCGCCCACATCTCAGAAAGCCTTGGGGCGGCTTGCAAAGAAGATAAACAACATAGAATAACATTAAAAATTCAGAGCATCTCGGCAATAGTTTAAAACCAATAAATAAAAACAACAATTAACAATTAAAATATCGTTTAAATAAAAAGGTCTTGGCCTGGCGCCGAAAAACAAATAATGACGGTGCCAGGCGAACCTCTCTGAGGGAGCGCATTCCATAGGTGGGACACCACCGCAGAGAAGGCCCTCCTCCGGGTACTCACCCTCCTAATATCCTTCACAGAGAGCTCCCGGAGAAGGGCCTCCTCTGCCGATCTCGGGGCGGGAGGGCATATATGGACGCAAGCGCTCCTTTAGATAACCAGGTCCCAAGCCGTTGAGGGCTTTATAGGTGATAACCAACACCTTGAATTGGGCCCGGACTACAATGGGGAGCAAGTAAAGCTGACGGAGAACTCGGGTTATATGAGAACAATGCCCAGTCCCCGTCAGCAACCTGGCTGCTCTATTTTGCACCAATTGAAGTATCCTTATGATCAGATGTATCTGAGGATTGGTTGAGGTTTTGGCTTTTGTATATATGAAGCTAGTATTTATTGTGAATGTTGTGTTGCCTTAAATCTAAAATGCAGAATGGAATTTTTATATAAACAAAACCATTAGTAGTTAATGTTTTAAGTGCACTACTATATTGAATGCAGGATTGTAGTTCTTTGCAATGGCCCATGTGTTCAGTGCCTAAATAATGAAATAAATTATTGTGAATTACTCAGTAGATACATGCTGTGGATGGAAAATTGTCCCATTGCATGGCTTCCTCATGTCCTTATAGCCTCTGTGCCCGCCTGCCTGCCTGCCTGCGTGCGTGCGTGTTAACCAAACACTAGCTCCCAAGGTAAACAAAAGGATAATAAGCATAGCTCACAGGTATGGCGAACTCCTAGGGTTCCTGATTTGCTCTCCTTCCTTAGCTGCTCTTAGTGTAGGAATTCAGACTCCTCGTTAAGCAAAGGAGTAATTATAACCAATAATCAGATTTCAATCTTATTGCCTAGCACAGTGGTAGGCATTTTAGTGTACCCCAGAGAACATTTTTGAAGGAACCTTTGCTGTTCCATGGTATTTTCTTTTCTTTTGTTTTTACAGCTGTAAAAAGAGGTTTCTGTTAGTGCTGCAAACTGCAGATTCAGAAGTGAAGTGCAGTGTGCTGGGTCTCAGACTCCCATCTCTGCCTTGTGCTGGAATGTTGCAATGGGATATTTGTGCACCTTCTAGTGCAGCCATTTTGGGATGGTGCCCACAAGTTTCCCAAATGCCCAAATGTGTCCACAGACCAAAACAAAGCAGGCTACCTATTGCTGGTTAAGCTCCTAGCAGGCCAAGTCCAAAGCAGGCCTATTCATTTCAGGACAGTGCGCTATGGTTCTCTGAGTGTGTTCTTGAACACCATTTTGTAGTGGTACATCACATTTCTCACTGTGCGAGTTGGATGTTACTTGGCTTATCAATATGCTTCAGCCTGAGCTAATTTAATGTCACAGTGACTAGCAATGCAATCTACCTTTGGGGTTATAATTGAAACATTCCATGCCGTTATTGGAAAACATTCAACAAGATATTGTCACTGAAATAAATAGAACTCTGTGTGAGAGTGAGATGTTGACATCCAGTGAAACCAGGAACCCATTGAAGGGAATGGGCTGAGGGAAACCTGAAGACAAAGAAGAGGAATGGAAAACAATTGTGAATGGTTCAAACTTGGTGAGCAGTCGTGAATTACACAATAATTTTGCTTATATCGGTCTCCATCTGACTGTGGTTGTTTCCTCTCTCTATTGCCTGAACTTGGCAACAATGTTTTCAAATGCTATGTGATGTGAAGTTTATTTATTTATTTATTTATTGCATTGAGCAATTATTGCACTGTTTTATATTTTAATAACTAACACACCCATTTTGTCTTTTGCTGCTTTACGTGGTAAGATCATGATTTGTTAATTATTTCCTCATGTTCAGGTCACATCCTGAAAGGGGGTTCTGCATGCATGCTAGTACAAATTTGTTGAGAATGACAGGTTGGGCGATGGGGCAGGGTTTACAACCTACACATTCCCTTTTAAACAATTCTACAGCTGAAGGAACATCCTGCACTGGACTTAATGTTGATTTCCAGGTTGAATGATGTACTATTTATTTGCAACACAATCTCTCTAGGCATTTACTCAAATGCTTGCAATTACTTGAGTACAATAAAGCATTTCAGTAATGTACAATTATTTCCTTCCTAAATTGTGCTTGTTACTTTGCACCTTTGTTTGAAAACTGAAACTTCTAAGCAATGCTTTATTTCACAACACATATTTACAAAAGGAATTAAATTACATTCCCTGGCCATGTTCAGTCTAACCGGAAAACAGTAATTATTTCAAATAATCATATTGGATTGACCACTCCTTGTTCTCTCTTTCCTGTGCTGGAGTCCTCCACATTTTGCTTTTTTTTCTCCCAAAGGTGTTAGTATTCATTTTAGAATTTCTACAAGGCCTTTTAACCGCCAAGAGGACCTTCAAGGAAGCTTCCAGATTGGAATATAAAAGCAGAACCAGATGAGATTTTTTTTTAAAAAAACCAATTAAATCATTAAAATACTAATAGAGGGTAATAAAACAAAACCCAAATTTAAGCATACATTAATCTTTCTGACTGCTTATTTACTTGTTCATACTAGATCAGACCTGGGCTTGAAAGAATTATTTTATCTCATTCTTCAGCTGAGTTTTGGCTCCCCAGTTGGTTCACTAAAATTCAACGGAAAGAGCAAATTCAAATGCATCCAGCACAAGAAAGCCAATGGCAGGAAAATACTGAGACCCTTCCTTCCCCAACTTCACAAATGGGTTTCACTGCTGATAATCATAACTAATGTCACCTTCTGACACCTGAAGTTGCTGGGAAGATTCCCAAGCGTCCCAGCATGGATTCTGCCAGTCACCCAGCACAACTGTAAAAGTCTTGGCTTGGCTTCTCAGAGCTTTTGTGGCCTTGCTTTCAGAGCGGCAGATCATTCAAACAATCTCTTGCAAAATTCTATTCATTTCCAGTTAAGAATGGGGACAAAACATGAAAAAGAAGCCATTGTAATTGGACTGAATTACACAAAGGTTAGCTGGACAATTCCATGCTGGAAATTAAGGAAGGAGTTAATCATTTATCCTTAAACTTCTAATTGCCTGACTTGAAAACCAAGTCTTTGATTTCTTTTCACTATTTTCTCTGCTGTTTGTAACACATGTCTATCACTGAGGTATATATAGGTCTGCCTTATAGATGATCCAGACAGCAAAAGAGTTTTCTCATCTTGGTGTTGGGAATAAATTCATAGGTTCTGGTGCCTGCAAACCTACAGGTAAGTGTTCCACTTTAACTGCTTCTTCATTGAATTCAGAATAGGAAAATTCTAACAAAAATGAAGTGATTGGTAGACAGGAAAATGAATAGGGAAATGAAAAGTATCAAACCTCTCAAAAATGCTTGGATGGTGTTCAAAACCATAATAACAGAAACCCGGCTAGAATCTACAGCACAGATCAGGAAAAGTACCAGAAAGACCAACAGGGTTAAGAAGCAGAGTCAAGCTAGGAGAAACAAGTTGAATTCATTCACAAAATAGAAGAATTGCCCAAATGAGGAAAACAAAAGGAACAACTTTGACAAAAGAAATGCAAGCTAAAAACATTGGACACTTACAAGGATTTGAGGAGCATATTGCTTACAACATTAAAGAACAGCAATATTTTGTTTCAAAATATATCAGGAGGAAACTAGTGAGGAAGGTGCTACACTAATGAGTAGCTCCTTCATGTAATACCAGCTTTAAAAGATGCTATTAAAAATAAAGATCAAGCCTCTTGGCTGAGAACACTCCTTTCTCACCAAGTTCAATCCACTCCACTCTATTTTCCTAGCTCAGCTGAAGGAAGCAGTTGCCCTGCCTACTATCCATCCGACTGTCCTTGCACAGGTCTCTGGGTGTCTCCTTTTCTGCTGCAATGGTGCTTCTCCTTCCCTGCCCCACCAGGCTCCTAGCATGGGCTCTGCTATTGCTGTCATCACCAACTAAAGCTGAAGGTGAGTAAAGAGGGTTCTGGGGTACCTAGAAGTGTTTCACTTCTAAACTGAGGGGCCCTAGGCCCTGGGTCTATGTCTTGCCTGGAAGATGTACGTCTGGGACCCTACTTATTGCCTCACAGTTCACTGCAGCTTACTCTGCAGTGCAGGAAACACATGCTCAGAGGCACTGTTTATTTTACTATTGGCTGATAAATTCACTCATGAGGTTTTGGCATTAAAAATCAAACTCCTGGCCATGATCTTAGCCCCATAAACACTGTACTGTGCCTTGGGAGGTAGGGAGGCCAGATCTGCTGTACCATTGCTGTGCCTCTTCTCTGCCTCCTTATCACTTTATGTTGTATCCTTCACAAGACTAGGAAGGCAGCCCTATAGCCAGCCTTTCCTATTAGGTAGGGGAATCTCATTTCCAGGGGGACATTTTTGGCAGGAAGATATGCAATATCATCATCTTCAACTAAAGTTGAAGCTGAATAGAAGGCTCTGGAGTGTCTAAACGTGATTAGTTTCTAAATTCAAAGGTAGCAAGACCTGAAAGATGCACCATTTGGCATACTAGTGGTTTGAGGCTTATTCATCTTAAGGAGTATCCTGTGAATGTGTCTGTTGCAGGCATGTAATCCAAGCACACTCACAATAGCTCTTTTGACATTGAAATCTGAGCACTTAGGAAAACCTGATACTGCTAAAGCTGAAAGAGTAGGAGACTATACATAATTTCCTTGAAAGCTATTCTTTATTTTTTTTGAAAAACAATTTGAAAATGAATTAAAAACATGCATCAGGGAAATTACAACCACCTCTCTCTTAGAGGAAATAGAGGAATTGGAATCATGTATCTACACTGAAAATGTTAGAAGAATCTCAAGTAATTTAAAATTGGTGCTAAAGCTAGGTTCAGTGTGATATGTGGAAAATGGTGTGTGTGTGTGTCTGTACTTGCATTTGTTCAAAAAGGGGTGATGGAAGTGAGACACATTTTAATTCTAGAACCAGGCCAAAAAACAGAAGCTGGTTTTTGAATTAAATCCACCCCTTAAAGTCAGAGACAAATGCCAGTCAAACAGTACCCTTCTAATTAAGTTTATGTTGGATAATAAGAACTGTGGAGAAATAAATTGTATGGGAGTGCTTTGAAGAAGGCTATAACATATCCAGGGGTTTTAGAAGAAAGTAAATGAAAAGTGCACTAAAAAACAAGGAACCATAAAGCCAAATATTTTGGAAATGGAATGGGAAGGAATAGTAGGAAAAATGAAGAGAGAACATATGGACCAGTGAAACATATGAAAAAATTTATTCCTTAATCTGCTGACTTGTGGAGCATCGGAAGCCCTGTTCTGGAAAAGATAGGGTGATAGAAGAAATCAGTTTAGATCTTCCAAGCAGAAATTTTGAGGAGTCCTCCCTGAATGGGAAGAATATTCCCAAATATAGGGAGATTTGGGGTGCTGTTATTTTTCTCAGAATTCAGTAATTTAAAATTTGGAGACTGTCCATCAACATTTCAAAAATGGCTCACATATCAGAACTACCATGCAGAAGCAAGTGATTATGTGTCCCGTCACCTGCTTCTGCTTCTCCTGCCAACACAGACCTTGGGTTATTTCCTGTGACATCTGCACCTGGTGCTTTGGGTTGTTGAGGGAGAAACAACCATGCATTTTAGCATTTAATGTTTTTGCATACCGTCTCAGCCACCTGGCTTGCTAGACAGTCTACATGATAAAAACCAACAGCATAGAACATCCTAAATAAATACAGTTTAAACAATTTAAACCAGAAAAGCAACAACAAACAACAGAGCAGGAGCACCAAATAATAGTTTAATCACAGATTAGAACTATCTCAAATTAAGAAAACTAAAATTCACATTAAAACATAATTAAAATTAGCTTCCAATTGAAACCATGAAAAATTAAAATGTTCCTTGAATAAAAATGTCTTAGCCTGGTTCTGGAATACGTATAAAGACAGCACTTAACAAATATTGATGGAAAGTCCTTTCCGTAGATAGAGCGCCACAACTGAGAAGGCCTCGCCTTGAGTAGCCATCCTCCTAGCTCCTAGAATTTTAACCTATGCTTAAATTTGGACTGTTTCTTCCTCCACAATCCAGAGTAGTTACCAGATAAGATATTATTATTAGAACATTTCTATGCCGCCCCTTAGTGATTGTCTTAAACAAATGGCCTCACTAAGGTCCCAAACAGATTTGTGTAGGCATGTCAGTGTGCACGCAATTGGGATTGAAAGGGGGTTAAAAACAAACAATGTACATGAATTAATGCATTTCTTTCCATCTGGCTTAAACAGAACTAAAAGTCAGCACAGATTAGTTTTTCATAGTTATTTCGATTCCCACTCTGAGTCAAGATCTAAACTCGGCAAGTGCTCAAGCAGAGGAATTATGGCAATCAGAACACAATGGACACTGTTTACAAGAACTCACACAGATGGTTTTGCTGACGTGCAGGACCTGAATGTTCGAATTGAATTTATTACTGTGCACTCCTCTGAGCTTATAATGCATGTAATACATTCCTACCAGTTATTACTTGTTTTGTTTTTTCTTAACACCAAAAATCTGTCAAGCAGGGAAAGATGACATATAGCTGCATGAGTGTTGATTGTTAGAACCAAGAATGCTCTATCTGTAAGCACCCCAGGTCAGACTATTAATCTATGTATCCCATCATGCACAGGGCCCATGAGTCTCCAAGTCTTTCATAACAACTGCTACCTGATCCTTGTAATGGGGGATTCCAAGCACTGACCTTAGAAGCTTGATTTAAAATATTAACCATATAAAATGGATACGAGTATAAAATTATAAGTCATCATTCAGATACAACAATATTAACACAAGCAAGAGCCAACAGTTGCAAACAGTATTCAATGCAACAAGAATAGTAAATAATTAACAGTGACAGTCACATGATACATATGGGGGCTGAAGAAGATCCTCATTCAAGAGAGGTCAGGATGTTTTGAGCCCTCTTTCAGTGATGAGGCATTACAAGTATCACCTGCAACATAGTCCCAAAGGCACCAAGAGCATCCACTGATGTGTAGTGCTCTGCTGAATCACCTCACTTTCTAAACTTCCCATTTACCTATTTATCTCCAGGTACCTGTGGTGCTCCAAACTCACGGCTCTATGCTTCATTAAAGAGTGGAAAAATAAAAGACAGCTATCCTGTTGGGACTGTTCTGCAATACAAGTGCATCCCAGGTTACGAAAATATTCCGAGAGTGACTCCTTCTATCCAATGTCTTGATAATTCAAAATGGTCAGAAACTCTCCGGTTTTGTCAAAGTAAGTGACTTTGTCATCAGCTGCACTTTTCCTAGCAACAGTGGTTCTTATGTAATATTGACTGAAACATCCAAAGCTCTCAGGAGTGTTCAGCAGTTTTGTTTCCAGTCTGTTATGCAGCAAACTTCAAAAAGCTGCTAATAGGGTGTCAAATCAGTAGCTTCACTTAATTAGTTGAATGTGTGAACCTGTAGAAAAACCATCCTAGAAAATGCCAGCTATTTTGGCTATGAGTTCAGCAAAGTGTTGCATCCCAGGTTATGAACATATTCCTGGAATGAGTGTTTCTACTATAAATCTTGACAATTCAGAATTCCCATAAGTTCCTGTATTTTATAAAGGTAAATACAGCACTGGTGTGCCATATTGTTTTAGCTAAGCCCAACATTGTGCCCATGAGAAGATTAAGTGTACAAATAGGGTTGCCAAGCTTTAAACTACAGATTAAACCCCTAGATTTTCCTTTAGGAGACAGGTGGGAATCCTGTGGGTCACAAAAGCAGCCTTTGAGTGCAGCCCATGTGACCACCAAGCCCGAAGGAACCAGACTCACATTTCTCACACAGCCCACCAGTTATCAGCTAGTAATGTTGGTGCTTAAACTGGGTATGAAAGCCGACCACTGAAGAAAGATCACAGGAAGAAAAGGCATGAGTTTAAAACCTGGTACTTGAGGAGAGCTTTGAAAATACCCCAGACTGCAAGGAAGACAAACAAGAGGGTCCTAGATCAAATGAAACTAGAACTTTACCTAGAAGCAAAAATCACAAAACTGAGGCTGTCATGCTTCTGGCACATCATGAGATGGCAGGACTCACTGGTGAAGACAATCATGCTTGGGAAAGTTGACGGAAGGGGGAAACCAAATAGGAGATGGATCAATTTGATAAAGAAAGCTGAAGCCTTGAGTTTACAAATGCTGAGCAGTACTGTCAAGGGCAAGACCTTTTTAATTCACCATAAATCAGAGACAACTGGACGGCATATAAGAACAACAGCACCAGTGGTGAAAGGCTGCTATTCCAGCCCTCTGTCAGCAGTGCCCCAGCAACCATTTCATCAGGAGCACTAGTGGGAGGCTTTCACCTTCTTGTCTCACCGCAATGCCAGTGCTAAAGATGTTTGCATGCTGTAAATAAAATAGGGATTCCAAAAGAGGGTAGGAGAAAGAGGCATTTAGTCCCCCCCCCCCCAGGAATCCCAGCTCCCTGTGTTAGCAGGCAGGGAAAGAAGATTTAAAACGCCCATCGCTGCATTCTCAGTGTGGGATGTGCATGACTGGGTCTGGCGTACAGCCACCAGGGCCAAAAATTCTGCTTCAGCAGCATTTTTCTCTGCAGGTGTTAGCAGAAAATGCTTAGAGCCAGTTCATAAGCTTCTCCCTGCTGATTTCTGCATATCAAATTACACAAATACAGCAGTAGGTCCATGCCCTCATCAAGCTATTCCTCTGACCTGAAAGGCATTATTTTCTCGGGGTCTTTCAGTAGGTCCATTTTTCTTTAATGATCATGACACCATGGGTAATACTATTCCTGACTTTCCTTTTAGGAAAGCGATGTCAGCCTCCCCATTTAGATAAAGGCAGAGTTGAACCTTTGGGCAACTTCCCATTTGGTGCTGAAATAACCTTTGTCTGTGAAAAAGGGTAAGTTGTAAACCAACTTATTTTGATAATTGGCCTTGTTAAAAAAAAATACACAAAGGATCCAGCTCCAGGTTTCTGAAGTCCTTTGGGCAAGACATACTCAGTGGGTCTCTCCTTTAGCAAGTCTGCATTCCCACCAACCTCAGCAACATTGTCACCACTTGATATTGCTCTTCCTCCTCCCCCCCCCCCTTTATGATTAACACTGTTTGCTTGTTAGACAGGCTGTGCGGTAATTTTTGCAAGTTGTTTCAAGAAAAGCAACACTGGAAATTAGCCTAAGAACACTTATGTACAAAATACAGTAACATGCGAGACTTCTTTCTCTTTAGGTATAGATTAATAGGCCAAAAAACTGCTCGTTGTGTTGTGTCGGGTGACACGGTTGATTGGAATGAAGATACTCCATTTTGCCAGTGTAAGACAAAATTTTACTTTAAGTTTGCTAAGACTTCTCTCAGTGCATCTCCTTTATTGCAAATATTTTAGTCTACCCAGACGATAGTATATGATTAGCTCTGCAATGTCTAAACATTTCATTCAGCTCCTGAAAGCCAAAGTGAGAAGGAGCTATGAATCTCCACATACTGTCTAACATCCATCCTTGGTTCATCAACACTGGGCTGTAGATAGAACAAGAACAACTTTCAAAAATCAATGAAATTCTTATATAAGGGAAGGTAATTTCCAACACTATCTAAATGCAGAATGAAAAATGGGAGCTTTCACACACAGCTCTGCACACTTTTCAAGAAAGGGTGAAAATTGCCACATTCCCAGTGGGGAGTATCCATGTCAGTATGTTTTAGCAAAGACAAATACAGTCTTGTGGCACCTTAAAGACCAACAAATGTTTTATAGCATACAGTTTCACAGAAACCATTCTGTTTTTCAACCTATAGTTGGCAGAACTGATACTCCTAGCAAGTCACTATAGCAGCGCAGAGGAGGAAAGTGAAGTGCAGCTCTGGTGGATACCTTACTGCTCCAGGAGAGTGCAGCATTTTTGCTCAAAAGATACCCAAAGAAGCTTCTGATTCCTATAATCAACCACAATCTAGTAACCAGTAGCATAATCAGGGCAGGTCAGAAGCCAGTGAAGCAAGACAACAGGGGGGAATACCTGGAGGAAGAGGCTCTAGTAGTAAGTCAGAAGATCTTCATTGCTGAGACAACTTCACGAGAGAAGAGCCAGTTCTTAAACAGCTCTTCCTCCAGGGCTCCCAGCTGGTACTCATGAGGGTCCTGGCAACTTCAGTAGATTGAGGGCATAATCCTGCAACTATGAGGGCTGCTATTCTGCTGCTCGGCCAGCAGATGGAGCCCTGAAGCTGCCTCAGATCCTGACACCTCTTTTATCCACAATTTAAAAATGGTTAAGGCAGCTGATCTGGCACCTGTACCTGAGACCTGGGTGGGTGAACAGGAAGAAGTTATCCTCTTCTAGTTGTACCCACCAGGGTATTTGATTCAGCATCAGGATAAATGTGGGGGGCAGAGAAGGGGGTTGCCATGGTCTATAAGAATCCAGTCTCTTGTTCCAGGTTCCCTGCCTGTCTGGAGTGTTTGTACCTTGTATTGGTCCAGCAGGGCAGACTGGGGATTCAGCTGGTGTTCTACCCACCCTATTACCTATCAGTCTCCTTAGCTGGAGGTGGTCTCAAGTTAGGAGGTGGAGGTGGTCTCAAGTTAGGAGTCCCCCAGGCTACTGATCCAGTAACTATACTGCAAATTTTAGTCTGACAGATCCCAGTTAAAAAATACTGTCTTCTGATAAGACTAAATCCAAAATATTATACCTGTGATAAAGCAAAGAAACCTTCAGATCTGAGCTTGAGCAAGCTCTATAAGAAGTATACTTCTGATTATTACTAGAAACAACACACATGAACTTACTTGCCTTTCCTTGGACAGATACAATCTTTCTTAGACTCTGGGTCAGAATTAGTTAAACTGAAGTAGAAACTTAGCCTTACAGCCATTCTGCAGTGCACCTTTCAGTGTGACTCTCTGTGGCCTGGTGCTGCCTCTTTTTTGTTTGTTTTGTGGAGTTTCTTCTATCTGTGTCTCCTGTTATATCCTATCAAAGGTTAGATACATTTCAGGAGCCAGTGACATGGAGCAGAATATATCTTCCAATGGTATTCTCATTCCTTTACTTGAAAGGGATTGCAAAGTAGTGATAGGAACACAGTACCATGGTGATGCCCAAGAACGGGAGAGGATCAGTTTGTTTTAGCAAGTTCATATGTATGTATGTAATATGAGATTCCTTATATCACCTCAGCTCAAGCTCAAGATGTGAGCCCCTTTGTTTTTGGTTGTTGGTAGAACATATCCAAAGGTGCATATTTACTTGGTTCAGTGAGTGTCTACTTCAAACAGTTGAACAGTTGAAGTGATTATTACACAACAGTCTGAACACAATCTTAAAAGCAATGCTTTTGTAGCTAGTGTGCCTGAACGATTAACCTTGATTCTCTCCTGCAGCAATCCCTTGTTCTCGTCCACCTAAAATTACAAATGGAGGACATTCTGGTGACAATGAAGAGGAATATCTACATGGCACTACAGTAACATACAAATGTGACAGTGGTTTCTCTCTTATTGGAAAACCAAGTATTACATGTATAACTTCAGCAAATGGTGTGGATACAGAGTGGAGTGGGTCTGCCCCTGAATGTAAAGGTGAAGCAAGTTCACATTTGCTATCATACCTGCAATGTGCTAAATTGCTTTGTGGTGCAGAACTGTGAGAAAATCATACTCTCTCATGGACTGGATAACTGTGCAGCTTGCCAGGCACTGCAATGCTGTGCAGCTTCCATGGATTTCAAAGGGAGTGTAAGCGATTCAAGAGAGTTCTTGTAATAGCAAGTTTGGACAGCACAAAAACTATTCTGAAAACATCAAACAGCAACCACAGAACAACCCACAGTTTCTTATTGTGGTGTCTAAAGACAAGCCATACAATGCATGATTGCACTCAGCCAGAGGCTGCAATCACATGACATGACAAGCAACCCTGCATGGAACCATAGTTCCCAGTGGTTTCTACTGTATCATGGTTGCCATCTGCCCATACACAGTGCTCCCACTGCAGGCATATTTTCCATCAGCTACTGCACCTGAAACTCAATTGCGAGGGAGCACTCCCTGCCTCTTCCTCACTGGTCACACACAGAGTCTGGATGACTGGAGCAGCTGCTGCAGAGGATTCTGTGGTAGCTGCATACCAAGCAGGAAGGGGGGCACTGCCAGTGGTTGTCATTCCTGGCAGCCCTGGAGACCAGCTGCTTGTCCACACTGGGCAGCTGCCAGTGGTTGCACCAGGCACGGAAGAGGGCTACTG